GTACTTATTTATTAAATGCAGAAGGCAACCACAGCGCCGCCAACCACTTGAACAGAAGTGCAAGCACTTAAATGTCAACAACTTGTTAGCCCGTCACTTTGATGTTTACCAATAATCGGTTTTGTTTGGTCATCCATTTCATTTGATATCCGATATGCACGTGACATGTGGGAGCCCCCAACCCCAGCCCCAGCCCCAACCCCAGCCCCAGTCACAATGGTCAATGGTCGAGTGGCGTGCGTGGCTTAAAATGCTCGACAAAGTAGCCCGCCATCTGTCTGAGGGGTCTGAGGAACATCTCCAGCCCAGTGCCAGACATTTCCTAAACAATATATTTTTGTGAATGTTGCATTTCAGACAAGACATAAACATTCGAGTATATAGTATTCTCATTCAAGTTTATCATTTAAAACAAACCGATGAAAGCTCGTGAATGCTCGAAAATATAATTATGTGTATGTGCTCACTAATTCTTATAAGATACACAAATACTATGATGAAGCAATGAATACAGTGAAAACTCCTTCAAGGGACCTTCTTTGAACCCTTTTTTTTGTTTTTTTTTTTTAGAGAAAGTTCGACTCTTTTGTGCAGGCACTCTCTTGACCGGACACGGGTACTTTTTTCGATTCAATTTTGAAAGAAAACCTAATATAAAATAATATATATATAAAATAATATATATATAAAATAATATATATATAAAATAATATATATATAAAATAATATATATATAAAATAATATATATATAAAATAATTGTAGTTATAATCTTCACAAAGATAAATAATCAAGTTTTGTTTATGTATTTATATTTTTCATATTCCTTTTATTTCTAATTATTTCTCTCTACCATTATTTCTTGATTATTATTATTATATTATTAAATTACAAAAAAGTTGGCCGACGGTGAATGTCAGGCCACTGTATTACGTAAAGCTATTTAATGAATTTAGTTCTTTTTTTTAATTCTTTATATTGATAATTTCTGTTAATCGTCTCAATAGAAAAACAATTCAAATAAGCACAGATACAAATATTTTGATGTATCCTCTTAAACGAACGCTCCCCTTGGCCGGACAAAAGTTGGTCGATGGTGAGTGTCCGGCCAAGAGAGGTTTCACTGTATATTGGTATATAATATTTGCTTCAATCGACAACTTCATCTTTAGTTATTCATTCCTTTTATTCAAAGTGTAACTGTTGCCCAACATTAGCTGTACAGTGAAACCTCTCTTGGCCTTCATGACTCACGGTCGGCCAATTTTTGTCCGCCCAAGAGGAATATCCTTAAGCTTAAGGGAATACTTAAATACTTTATACACCGATTAAATGTTTTAGAAAAAGTGTCCGCCGAAGAGAGTGTCCGGATAAAAGAGGTGTCCATTAAGGTAGTTTTTACTGTATATTAGCTAAAAATGAGATCTTTGGTTCAACTCTGCACTGCACCCCAAAGCAAGCAAATGGGTAAAGTGGTTTTGGGATTCTAGCATTCCATTCATCACCAAAGCAGCCCTTAACCTCCACAAAAATATATTCTCAATGGAAAAACTTTTATGAAATGTTCCTCAAACATGTCAAAAGGGATCCGATTAACCAGAAAACAATGTTCTATACTATAACTATCGCTAGTACTACATATAGTCGATGATTTGTCATTTAACAGACGATAAGAAACTATTATGGAGCACAGCAACAATGCGTTAGATTCGAATATTACGTGACTTTTTTGGTGTTAATCATGTGTCGAGCCAGTCAAGCAATCAGCTTTCAATGAAAAATTCTCAAAATGTGCATACACTAGAAGATAAAGATCGATGCCTTCTCCTACATGCTTGCTTTATTATATATAGGAATTCGTTAAATTAGTTCGTGCTTTAAGGCACATTTTTAAAGCAGCTATTTCCGTTTCCGTCAATGGAAGATGAAGTCAAATGAATATTATTTAGAATGGGTAGTCTAGCTAACATTAACTTTGTGGCAAGAAATAGGAGTTGATGTTGCACAATCAAGTGCCGCAATAATTCCATTCATTCATGATTCATTCAAGTGCATTTGATAGATGTGGCTGACGCATTTCCTATGCCCAGCCGCTAGTTCAAATGTCATCTATTTCCAAAACAAATATTTAGCTTTGAAGTATTTACTGTTTTGATTTATTCGGACAAACGGAAGTCCAACAACACACAACTATATGCACTTTTCAATTATTTATTTTTGCACAAACTATGATGTTGAATCACAAAATTAAAAGCCGATACGCCAGCAATACGAAAAAGAAATACAAATGCAAATGAAAATTTTAAAGAAGGCATCCAAACTGAAATTGCATTATTTTTCCTAGATTGCGAACACATACATACAGACATACAGAGCATGTATTTGTGAGCCACAATATTTTCAATTTCATGGCAATTTCCATGAGATTGATATACGACTAGGACACCAATACGAATGCAATGCACCACAAATTTATGTGTATGTGTGTGTGTGTGATTGCGAGTGTGCATGCATTTTAATTAAAATCAAAAATATTTGATTACATTTGCAGCCCCAGAACACGAATTTATATTACACTTTGCTCAAATTTGCATAAATTATTAATGAGCTCTGGCGGAAATGGGTAATGAACTTTACAAAATGTGCTGCTTAATTGGGCCAAATTTGATTGTGGAACAGCTTTTATTGGCTATACCCAGTTGCAGTTGCAATTGGAATACGAAAAGGACAATGCTCATTGAATGCCTGTGATATGGACGCCCCCATCTTAACAAACACAATGAGCATGTCAACACCATTGTGAGAGTTTCTTGGACAAATCGTTGGTGGCACGTCAAGCTCATCAGAGCAGACGGCGAACAAAACATCGACTCATTCGATGCACATGCACTTTCAATAAATACGCTCAAATGTGGCAGTTACATGCATATCGCCATCGTGCGCTGTCATTAGTTAAGGTAAGGCGCTGCTGCTGCTGCTGTTTATGTTGCTGCTGTTGCTGCTGTTGCTGTTGCAGTTGCAAGGCGCTATCAGCGAAAGCATTGCAACATCAACATTGCTTAATACGCGCTCGGCACGCCATCGCCCAATAAAATTCTTGCCGTAATTGACGTTGCAAGCTGTCTGCTTGCAGTTTCAGTTGTTGCCGGTGCACATCAAATTTCTTAATTTTCGCTTTAACGCTTCCATAGCAATGGCAGAGTCGCGTCGCATCGCGTCTCGTCTCGTCGCGTCGGCGTTAGCTCTATGTCCCCATGTGTTCGTTTTACAAACCCTAAGCTTAAGCTGCGCATTTGTTCATCTCATGCCCAGTAGCACTGCGAATGCCGGCCACGACGCGCAGTTTGTTTTCTTGTATTTATTTTTATTTTTTTCTTTTCAAATATCTAGCAATTAGATCTAACTTATGACGTCGTTGTGCCATAAAGAAATCGCTTTTCTTTTGCCTCGGCCGTTCCATCCCGGCTGTAGAACACACATACACATAAACCTACCTGCAAATACATACACACATGCATATGTACCTGTATGTATGTATGCATGTGTGTATGTATGTATGTATGTACGATATACGACTATTACAGCCGCCTGTTGCTATTTGTTGCTGCCGCTCCGGCAATGTGCCTGAAAACAATAGACAATTTCCAAGACAACCTGCATATAGAGTATGCACCTACTCGTATATGGCCGCATCATGATTTTACGCGGCTCGCCGCTTTTTAATGAACTGCTTTTGTTTGGCGTACTTTGTTTATGTCAAAATATTTGAGCGTTTATTCCATGGGCAACATTTTGCCGACGCTCTGCCACCAAAATGTTGCCGCAACACAGCCGGAAATGCATTTCCGGCAACATGTTGCTAAAAAGCTGTTGAGCAAGTTATTTACATGTTTTCAACGTGCTCTCGCACACACACACACACGCGCACACGCGCGCACACACTACTACCAGCGCGCATGCAGGCAGCCAAGTTAGCGCTAGCCAGCAGCAGTGCTGCCAACTTTCGATTACATAAAGTAGTTGGACAGACAGTAAAAAAAGCCAAAAAAAAAACTAATAAAAATCAATCAATCATCTCTTAGTTCACATGTGATCTTCAATCATAGAAAGAAGCTATTACTAATTATGTGGCTCTATCTATGAAAATTTATATTAGTTTATATAAATTGTATAAAAACAAAGAAGAATGGGACGCTTGCTTTTAACTTTTTTAATATCGAAAATTACGACACGATGCGGTGGCGTTTGTGCTTCTATTTGGTTATATTTATATTATTAGTGGTGGCAATTGCAATATTTTCAAATAAGATATTACATTCGGGAAGTCTGTAGTGGTTCTTATTATAAAATGACTGCGTGGTGAAATTGGTTTTAAATATAAACCGCATAAATTAAATAGTTTCGTTTAGAAAAAGTAAAACATGTTTGTCGTTTAAAAATTGTTAATAAATTTATTTTTCTCATATTTGAAAATATTTGAAAATGTTTTACATATAATTATTATTTTTGCAATAGACTTCTAACAAACGTGCTACGAAGAACTGTTTAGATTTTAGTGGCCGTGTATTTGAGTATGTCCCGCCATTCATTCGAATATTGCCGCGTAATTCGGGCCAGTTCACAATAAATATATATTCCAAGTAGTGAAAGAATATTATGGCACAGCAATTAGCCACACGAATTTCGAAACTTCTAAGTCCATTAGCTACTTTTTTGCCTGCTGTGCACTTCTAAAAAAGGCTAGAATTCCCGCTGTCGCCAGTTTAATATTTTGCGCGCAATCGGCATTCGGCATTCGGCTCTGGAGCTCGCGGGAGAAAAGCTAGATTGGCAACACTGGCCGGCAGTCGCCGCAGCCTGCCTGTTGGTTGTTGTTGCTGTTGCTGTTGCCTTCGTTGCTTTGTATGTGTGTGAGTGTGCAAGTGTATTGGTGTAAAGTTGCCTCTTTTCTTACCTAAATGAGAACTTTGGTTTTCAAAATTCAGTCGGCATTCGACCATCAGTTGTGGTGCACGCTCATCAAATTGCGAAGCAGATAAGGCTAAGGCCGATGAAGCTGAAACTGAAACTAAACTTTTGACTTCTTGCGCTGAAAAGTTGTGAAAAGCTAACTGAAAAAGACTTGACAGCCGTTAAGTGAGTGAGAAAAAGTGCAATCTGATAGAATTCGGGGAAAATGTTGTCGAAATTGTTTATGCATTTATGAATTTATGATTGGCTTCTGCTTCAGCGTTCGAACTAAAATAATTTAAAGTGAAATTGAAAAGTCAGCGAAACATAGCAAGAAATCGCGCCAGTTGTTCGCTAACGGAAAAGACAGATAGCCATGCAAATAAATGCCAATCTATGCAATAATAATTGTTGTTATTATAAATTAATTTTTTGTTCAAATTATTATTTTTTTTATTATTATTTCTTGTATATATTGAAAAACTAGCTTGACAACCATTCTGAAGGCCGCTAAGTTATAAAACAAACTATAAAATACTTAAATAAATACAGTACCTACTAGAAGTTGTAGCCTGAATGTGAAAAAGGGTGGAGAAGAGCGCATTACTCGTATGACTTGGCCATACAAATAATTGTCAGCAGCAATTAACAACAGACTAATTTTTTTGCTGTAAGCTGTGTGGCAAACATTGAATATTAAGAAAAAAAAAAACGTGCAACAAACATAAAAGAATTATTTTCTAAGGTGAGTTCTATTAAAAAATAATTATTATTTATACTCCATTGTCGCCAAAATCAGTGATTAAACATAGCGTCCGAAGGCCAGTAATATCTTCTCTGTCTTGAATTGCATTCTTGGTGTTCGGTTTAGAACAATTTTTATCGCCAAACTGCATCATCATCGCGTCGCTATTAATGTTGATAATTGTATAATTTAATCGTATATTAATTTATAAAATTGGATTGTACGCTTTAGTTATATTTGCATTTCACTTTATGGAGCTTCAAAGGGTTGTTCAGTTCCATTCTTTAGCAAGCAAAGGGATTTTCATAATGAAATCTTCAATAGATATTAAGAGTTCAAAAACTATCCAATCTTGCATTTACTTTGAGTTGAAAATACAATTAGCAAAAATACAATACAATACAATACAAGTTCGGTTTTCCCAAAATGTCTTTTGTGAACAACATAATCCCTAATTATGGTATTAATCCCTAAATGTTGCCTGTCTGTCTGTATAACTTGAGAATGGGTGTGCCACCAAAAATCTTCACAAAGCTTCCACATACATAAGTATTTACATACATATAATTGCAAAAACTCAGACAATAACAAAATTCTTGCATAGTTGTCAACAAAAATATCGAGAGACTAAATAACAGCTCAGATTTCATGTGCTCCGTCCGATATTTGTTTTTTCTCTAGACTTCATTCGTTCTGTTTATATGTTTTTCCAAGTGCGACAAAAACTACTAGAAGACGAAAACAGAATCTGTGGAAAAGGAGATAGAAATGAGAAGAAACATAATAAGCAAATAACAATTTCACGCAATGGACGAGCAAATAAGAATATTGCGCGCACGCGCTCTCGCGCTCTTGAAGCATTTGAAGAAATCCTGTAGCTTGCAGATTTCCTGTTTACTTTTCGATGTGTTTTTCTGGCTAGCTGGTGAGCGGCTGAGCTGGTGAGCTGCCGACGGCTGCCGTTAATGAGCCGTTGTCAATACACATCAGATCACTGGGGAGGGGGGGGACGGACACATCAGGCAACAACAGCAAATATGTGCACAAAGCTCGAGTGTCGTTTTCGGGCAACACGGCGTATGTGCAACGCAAGCGAATGCGTGACGTTCATCTAACAGAAGACAAACAAACAGCAACACCAACAGCAACACCAACAGACAACCAAACGCTTGGATCACATGATGTGCATGGATGCTGGTGTTGATGTGGCCTATTGGCTCTGGCTGCACTCAGTCTGCTTCTGGGTCTGGTCTGTCGGCAGTGGTGTGCGCCACCCCAAGCCCTCAGTCCGAACTGCCTTGATTTGTTTGATTTGTTTGTTGGTTTTTGGTATATTTATTGAAAATTTACTGCCTGCATAACGAGCGGCTGGCACTGGCCAATGGCATATGCAAATAAGTGGCGGACAGACAGGGGCTTCTCCACATCATCGGCAATCCAGAAGTCATTAATCTCGCGCCAAAAATGAGTTTCTTTTGAAGGCAGGCAGGCAGCCTGACTGGCATGCTGATGAGTGTGCTGAAAGGAATTTCCTGTTGTTGTTCCTGTTGACAAATTTGCGACCTCACGGAATTTCCTAAGAAGCGCTGCTACATACTTTGTCTTTGACACAATATTCGTTTGATTTTCGTTGTTATTTATGAAATCGGACACGCTGACCCTTTTTTCATTCGTGGGACTGATATCTATACCCTATTAGCTGACACAGTCAAACTGGCAAGCAAAAACCAATTCAGGCTGCGCTTCCGGCGCTCTCGTCGACCTCAGACTCATTTATTGCGCAAACGCGACCATTGGAAAATATTGTACAAGCCCCAGTGATTTATTAGTGCACAGAATACTTGTATTGCAAATATTTGTTTTTCATTTTTCAGTACTTTCATAAATCACAATCTATTTTGGTAAGAGTTTTGATAGAAAGTCTAGAAATGCCATGCGAAATAAAAGGTCAACAATTTGAAAAATTGACATTGTCTTAACCTTGTCTTCACCCTTGAGACAGAACTGTGGAGAAACAAGCTGGACATTTTCCGGCTACTATCAAAACAGTTAAAGGCTTTCCCAAATTTTCATTAATTATTGATAAAGTACTGATTGATTCGGAATGCCGTCGCCTTGTTTCTGCAACAAAATTAAAATAATTCTTGAATTTGTTCCTAAGTTCTTATGGTTGAGAAGTAATTGAAGATTATCAGGTCTAAGCCAAGGAAGCTTTTCTCTTTGAGACTTTAAAATGAAAAAATTTTGGTATGTCTGAAGCTAATTTAGATCTGTCGAGCAGATTTGATCGAAAAATGCCGTCACATAATAGTTTGAATACATTTTACAAGCAAAGTATTTTTTTCATCTTTTAACTAACTAACTAGCGAATCTTTTTTATATTTAATTTTTCAAATGCCTCGTTTCGTGGCTTTCTGTTCTAATTCAAATCGTTTGCAGGATTACAAATAATATTTATTTCTAAGACCGTTTTCAGCTGTTCATGTCAGCTTCCAAGAAAAAGTTAGATCGTCATCTACATCTTCAATACTACTAAACATTAAAATTTAAAAGCACCATCCTAAGTGTGTTTTCGTCTACACGAGGGCTGTGTATATGGGTACATCACTGTACTCTGTACTTAGCAACAAAAACTATATTTCTCCATGGTCATAAGTTGCGAACTATATAAATCTACTGCATCTCTGTACAATCTAATCTTTTATAAAAAAAAGTTTGTCTTCATTTGGGGTCCTCAAGCGCTGAAACAATGTCAGATAAACAGACGAAAATAATTTATTAGACGACTCTGTGCAAAGTTTTCAAAGCTCTGGTAGGAACAGTATTCACAAAAGACACACATACTTCCTTCTTGTTAATAGAAATATGCCCTTTATTAGACAATGAAAAAAAAAAACTGTTAGAGTAGTAAGTTGACATAGGGCCTGACACAAAATAGATATTGCGCCTGTATTTCTTTGAGTCGCTTGAGCTCTGCTTGCTATTTAAATACTTAGTTTGTTTTTTACAGACCGAATATGTTTTCAAAATCATCGTATTGTGTGTCCAGAAGGTGGCAAAGGCTTATGACGTGGCCATGTGACAAACATGGTAGATCTCCAGATCTCTTGATCTGAATGCCCCGAAACGTGATATATAGTTCTATTATATTATCTAGCCACTTCATCTGAAGCTGAAATAACAGTCTAGAGTGTAATTAGGCACCTTCGTGAGTGTTCCCACTCGGTTTGGGGCTCACGAACTTTATCTTTGCGTATGGGACTCCTTCTTCTCTTTGCTTTTTCAGCAAAACTCTGGGTTGCTACAAATTCAAATACAATGTGTACAAATAAAAATTGCATTTGAAATTAGGAACTGCAGGAACACAAATGCAAAAACTAAATAAATGATGAAAAGAATAACACAACAATAATAATAACAACAGCAATAACAACAGCAACAACAACAACAACAACAACAAGATGAGATGCAATTCAATACAAGCGTAGTGGAAGAAAAAAATCTTAACGAAAATCCAGAATAAATGCCCAAAAAACATGAAAACAGGTATTTTAAGCAACGGCCAACGGACAAAATACATACATACAAACACACATATATATTTGTGCATATATAGTATGTGTGTGTATGTATGTGTGTATGTATATACATAGCACAGGTACGCTGCAATATTCAAGAGTGTGTGTTGCTTATTGAGTTTGGCAATGCAGTTGCAAAGCTTAGTGCTCTTGTTGTTGTTGTTGTTTGTGCTGCTGCTGCTGCTGCTGCTTCAGCGAATGCATTTTATGCCGTTGTTGTTTTTGTTGCTGCTGCTCCTTGCATTTTTCGTTGCAGCTCTGCTCTGTTCTCGCCCGCTCCTTGCACAAAATCCAAGCCCAAAAGCAATTTTTGTGAACATTAAAGAATTTCTGGAATTCGAGGCAAGGGCAGAGCAATGCCACTTCGCTAGCAACATGTCCCATTAAGTACAGTAAACACTGGCCATGCCAGCAAATGAGCGCCAACTAAGCGCTCCACAAGCCACAAGCCACAAGGCACCAGCCACCAGCCACATGACATGGACATATGACATGGAAAAACTAAATCAATAATAACAGCGGCAGCGAAAGAGGCAGTGGCTGGAGCAGGGGTTGGGGGCAGCGGTAGCAGCACCAAAGGAAAAGCGTGGAAACCGCCAACAAAAACCCACTGACTTTGCAAAGTCTAAAAATAGCCAAGCGTCTTGCACGAGGCACGACAGGAATGCAGCTTGAATTTGAGTGTGCGTGTGTGTGTGTGTGTGTGTGTGTGCGTGTGTGTGCGTGTGTGTGCGTATGGCTTGCACGTCCACGCAGACGTCTGCCGGTTAACCTGGAAAGTCAGTGCCATGCCGCCGACGGGACAGCGAAGCGCTGGGCAAACGGCAGGGAGTATGGGGAGAGATGGGGACCTTGCCAGCCAGCTAGCTGGCTAGCCGGCTAGCAACGTCAACATCCGACTGCCAAGCTGGTCGACCATCATATAAAATGTCGCAACGCATGTTAACGCAATAATTTTCGGTGCAGTTGCCGCCCGGTCTCGGACCGTTCCGTCCCATCCCGTCCCGTCCTGTCCTGTCCCGTCTCCAGTCCGACCCCATCCCATCCCATCCCGTCCCGTCCCCTCCCGTCCTGTCCCATCGTGGCATGCCATGAACCATGACGCAGTAGGTCATTAATTGTTTACGAGGAAATGTGCAATGTGCACGTACACACACACAAACATACTTACATATATGTATGTATGAGTTTTTTTTTTATACGAATACTATGTGTGTGAGTTGGCGCGTTTTTGTTTTGCTTGTCGCATGTGCAGATATTTTATTTCTTATGCATATGTATGTATGCACGTGTATGTCTGTATGTCTTCTGCCACCACTGCACTGGACAGGTAGCCAGCCGTTGACGTTGCAATCAATGGTCTTCTATACATGCAACACATCATTGCCAGATACACACACACACACACATACATATGTAGGTGCAAGTGCGTGTGCCAAAGCAATCAAAGACATTTTTCTCCCATATGTCCAGAGAGCGTTTATTTCGGGCATTCACAATTCAATACTGAATCGTTCCAGATCGCAAAAATGTAGAAATATATATATAACAGATTTGTCAGCCCCTTCAGCCACCAATCATCTTAGATCCAATTAATTAAATACACACCTGGACAGTGCAATAGGTGTGAGCATATTTAAAAAAAAAATTCTCTTCATATTTAAGTGTTTTTCAAAGAAAAGGTTAGTTTTTAAAGCAAACATACTTCAGCGACAAAAAAATAATAAATGGCTTTACCAACAATTAAAAATTAAAAACTTTAAAAAATAACTTAGCGTTTGGTTAATTTATAAATTACAATTGTTTTCGGTTGGACAGAATAATAGGTGTGCCCAACAAAATTAGTAATAAATATTGAAATTTTGTTATTTAAGGTCCCGCATTTTACCGAATATATTAGAGCACACTTAATACCCTGAATATCCGGCATTATTCTTAATGATTTTCTCGATTCCTGCAGACAAATCTTTACACGAACGTTATACCATACTTATTGAATAGTTTCCCATAACTGCAATAAATATGCATATATTTAGCAGTTCAATATTTTAAACACGATGTATAGTAGAGTAAGTTCCCAGTTTCCCTTTGGTAAGAGATACTACAGTGGAAAATTAAACTAGAACTGACGTCATCGCATTAGTGCAAGAATCTGGCTGTGCAATATTGTTCTGATTTGTTTGTGGACTCTCGCAGATTCTGCAGCTGAGTCTATGAGACTATTAATTCGAGCAGAGCAAACAGTTAACGCTAACAAGTGCCCAGGAGACACAAAGGGTTAAGCAAAAGCCAAAGGGCTAGCGGATAAGAGCTTCACAGACATTGACATATGCCAGCATGGGCGTGTATATCTCGCTCAAGGACGTTGCAAGTTAGCCAAATTAGGATACTTCACATGTGCTCCAATACAGATGCAGGCAACGCCAACTTGAGTCACGTACCCGTGCCCCACGCTATCGCTGTCGCTGTTGCTGTCCATACTCGTACATAAATATCGTAGACCAGCATGTATAGTACATACATACATATACTGTATATGTACATATGTGTGTGTACTCGTATGTGTGTGCTTGCGAGACTCTCTGTTGCTGTTGCTGTTGCCGTTGCTGCTTCTAACAATTGTTGCATGTCTGGCTCACTTTGTCTATCTGACTGCGGCCTACGCTCGCATTCGCATATGTTTGCTTGAGCACGTCCTTAATGTCATGACGATGACAATGACGATGATGATGACGATGATGACGATGACGACGACGACGAAGACGACAGCAGCCCAAAACAAACATCCAAACAGTGCGCCAAACAAACTGCAAGTTGCAAATCCAGACACACACTCACTCACCTGCAGAAACACACACCTCATGCCTCCGTTGCGCGCACCTGTCTTGCCTTGAACTGCGTTGTTGCAGAAGGGTCTTATGCACTTATTAAAGAGTTTGGTAACGAATAAAGCTTCCCCTCCCTAGTTATCTGTGGTTTCTAACTCACACATTAGAGGCATTGTTTCCATAGAGTTCGCATATTATTGTTGATCCAATAAATGGTTTAAAATCTTTGCGCAACATTTTATTTCTGGCTAAAAGCTTCTTACAAGTTGAAGAGCATTGAAGGCTCGGTGTTGCATGTTGTGTTAGATGATGGTCGCGCCGCTGCCACAACATGGTAGACAGTGCCAACGTCTCTGTGACTGTTGTTGTTGTCGTTGTTGTCGTTGTCGCTGGCAGCAACAGGTTCTTTATTTTTAGTGGTCACATTTTGAAAACCGCCTGCTCAATGTCAACTCAACGTTTGAGACTTAATTGTTGCCTCTTTGCTGTCAATGTCTTTTCTTTTTCTCCCCCCTCCCCCCTTGCTGTTGTTTTTGTTGCATGCACCATCAGTGTCTGGCCTAAGGCTTGGCGAACACTTGCTGAAGATCCCATATAACATATCTTTCTAAAACATGAGTACTTACTTACTGGTACATACATATATACATACATACATATATGTATACTATATAGATACGTGAATATGTAGGCATTTATTTTAATTGCTTTTAATTCTTTGTTTTAGCTCACAGCTTGTACGAGTATTGCGTGGCATGCCACTGCCAACAAACGCATGCCGCCTGGTCATGAGCCAAAGAAAAAATCAGAACAATTTGACATTTCGAAAATCAAATTACAAATACAAGCGTAGAGACATGTTCACAATGCGCGCACTTCCTGCCAAAGCGGAAGCGCGTATGCCAAACCAATTAGCGGCAACATTGTCACAGACGTCAGCAGCATCAGAAGCGGCGGCAGCAGCAGCAGGAGCAGCAACAACAGCAACAACAACAGCAACAGCTACAGCAACTGGTAGCCGCAAATGTAGCCCAATTTTAAGTTTATTTATAGTAATCGCATGGAAGTATCTGCAAGAAAAGCCAAAACGCTTCGCATGTCTTGCGCGCCAAATTGCCGGTGACAGTGTTAACCATGACGTCAATCGCAGTAGCAACATGTCTCAACTAAGACATCAACCGGCAGCAGAAGCAACAGAAGCCGCAGCAGCAGCAGTAGCAGCAGCAGCAGACACGGAGCCAGCAGCACAAAACGCAGATGTTGCTGACGCTAATGACAAGTTGTCAGTGGCATGTGAGCAGCAACAGCAGCAGCAGCAGCAGTGGCAGCAGTGGCAACATTTATCTAGTTCTAGTCCAGGAAAGAGCAGACGCTGCAGCACCTCGTGGCCGTCATCAATGAAAAGCCCAACAAAAGCAACAACAGTCAAGTCTGGCCAAGTGGCGACATCACCATCACCAACACCAACACCAACACTATCGTCATCATCGTCATCGTCGCCCATTCATAGCTGGTGTTCTTTGACGACTCTGTTAATTGCCCTGATGCTGAGCATGCGTCTTGTGGCGGGTGAGTAAGACAAGCATTCCACACACACACACACACACTCACACTTATATGTTTATCGACTTTAAGATACTCCTTCAAGCTGACCCAAAATCAGAAATATGCGTCTTAGAGCTTTTGGGCAACTTAAGAGCCACATACTATATATACGAATATATTACTTAGTATATAATCGTACGAGTATATGTATAAATAACTTCAAAGTGTGGCGCCATGTGCCCACGAAAGGCGTCTCTGCCTCCACTGTATCTGTATCTCTTAGCATACATTTTCGATATCGGTATCTTTGTATCTGTATCTGTGGATGTGACTGTGGCTGTCCCTGTCGCTGTCGCTGTGCAAATGTGCGTTCATTCGCTCCGATGTGATTGAACGATAAATGTGACACATTATACCAAATATGACGCAATTTCTCACAACAAAGTTGTTTGTTTATCGCACATGAATGTGGACTCTGGCGAGTCAGGGCGAGGGCAAAAATACGATTCGGATCCAACTGTAAATAAAATATCAAACGAATTTGATTTTAAGTTTTGTGCGCACGACTTTCGTTGAAATCTATTAGCGCTTATTTTTTCAATTCAATAACTATGGCAACAAAATATTTACCCTGCTTTCTTGTTGTTGTTGCTTACCTGCGATTGTAACTAGTTGTTTAATATTTCTCAGAAATGTTCTGCAAATAGTAGACATAATAGACATATAAATAATTTATTAAGTGGCTATCTGAATAGTCTTTTAGCTGAATTATTTTAATTTATTAGTGTGAGAACAGAACAAATATTGTGCGATAGTTTTTTATAATTGAGTTCAGTTTGGCAGCTATTGGTTCATTCATAATTTAATTCCCTATTTCTATGATACCCTGCTGTGACTGTACAATCTAACCATTCATTATAAAGTATTCTAAACTCATTCTGCATTTGGTCATCGGGTATGACGACAACATTCTGAATATCCAACTCGATTCTAACATAAACAACGATTTTTGTATACAAATAGACTTTTTTCATCGTGTCTTTGGTGTGACAGCAATTTGATAAAGCGATCTAATATACATATTCGTGTATCTGTATCCATAAAATAGTAATAGTAGTGAAATAGGAGAAGAGATTGAAACAGACAGACGGGCATCGGGAGTTCGACCCATCTCGCCAGGCTGATCTAAAGAAGTAGAAAAAATAAATGATCGTAGCTTTCAAAACGAATATTTGAGCCGCGAAGCTTCTTCGTGGGAACTCAACTCTATACTTTCCTTTTTTTTTGTTTCAAAAAATAATGTACATTTAAAAGCAACATTTTGAATTATCTTTCAAGTCAATCCCTATATATACAAGTATTTACATACTATATATCTGGAACTGTAATCATTACAAGTGTTATTATAAAAATTGCTAAATTATGATTATTTTTTAATTTTATTGGTCACAATCCCAATATAATGATTAATTTTTGAGCTAAACTTTAAAAATTAACCCATTATCATATTTTGAGCAAAAGTCAAACTCATAAAATAATGATTATTCTTTGAGTTTTATTTTTTTAATCAAAAGTAAAACTCAAGTTGTAATTTTGTCTTTCTCAGAGTTAACAAAAAACAAAATAGTCATTATTTGCGGTCCCTGGTATATATTCTGATTTATTTTCATAAATATGCTATATAATTATAATTTAAGCATATAGGAGTGTATGTATATACATATGTAGAAAGGGATCTCATGTCATTTTATATGGGATATATTTTTGATTTATAAGGGACTTTGGATTTTTGGTAAAACTATTTTGCGATCGCTAGCAAATTTTCCATCATCCAAATAATTTTTGTATATACTCGTACACAGCTGGAACCTGCTGGCAAACAGCACTCGGCAGCGGCAAATGCAATCAAATCTTCTCAACAAACATCACAAAGTTGGAATGTTGTGGCGCCAACCAAGCCTTCTCCTACACCGATCGCGAGCTGAGCAGTGTGGAGTATTTTTTTGCCACGGCCATCGGAGGCGGTGTTGAGTGCGCGCCATGCATAGGTGAGTGTTCTGTGGGGACTTGCCTTCGACTGGTGCTGGCATCAAAAGTGCTAATTTATGCAAGCGATGCAGTGTTGGTGTACTTGGCGTTGTTGTTATTCTTTTTCTCTAGCAACAACAGCAACAACTGAATATTTAACTTGCTACAAAAATTGATGCATGTTACTTAAACAATTTTCTATTCAAATTTTCGTGCTGAATTTCAGAGAGTTGCAAGAGTTTCAAATGTGGGCCAAATAAAAAGTGCGTCAAACGCAAGGGTCGACCCAAATGTGTGTGTGCGCCCGAGTGTGGAGCGGCATTGCGCCGGAAGCAGCAACAGCAACAGCAACAGCAACAGCAGCAGAAGCAGCAGCAGCAACAGCAACAACAACAAAAACAACATCACAATATGCATGAGAAGTCGCCTCGCGATACTCGTAGTCTAAGTAGCGAAATAACAAACATCAATTTAGGTTTAGATGGCGCCAAACGCCAGTATAAACAGAACGACAGCAGCAACATCCACAGTGGTGGCAACAACAGCAACAACAGCAACAAAGCTGATAACCAAAGAAGACAACAGCAACAACAATACAAACAAAGCCAAGAGAAGCCAATGCCGCGCCACAATCATAGAAAGGTGCAGGGCGAAACAAAACATAGAAGACTTTTGATTATAGACAGCAGCAATTTGCAAGAGGGAACACAGCTGGAGCGCCAACAACCCACAACCAGACGGCTGCATATTCAGAGCAAAAGCAACATGGATATGGATATGGAGATGACGATGACGATGCCAATGCCGGCAATGACGGCACATGCGAGCAACGAGCGACGCAGACATAAAAATAATAACAGCAAACACTTAACAAGATCAATGACGACGTTGGCAACATCGACGACAGGAGCCAATGACTCGTCAACACCGCCACCAGCAGCAGCAACAGCAGCAACAGCAACAACATTAGCGCCAACACACATCAGAGCGACAGCAGATTCAGCTACGTCTAGACATAAGACGGCAAATGCTAATGAACCCGCCAACGACATTAATAGGCAAGAGTATGGGCAAGAGCAAGACAATGCCAACATGCTGGCTGGAACTGAGGCTCAAGCTCAAGCTCGAGCTCGAGCCCGAGCCCGACTCAGACACATGCATCAACATGGCAGACGTGTTGAGCACGCTCCAAATCACGACCAACAATACGACAATGCTGATCAGAGCAACAACAACAACAGCAGCAACAGCAACAGAGGCGGCCACAATAGTCAACGAAAACGTAAACACCAACAACGTCTGCATAAACAGCGTAAGCATAAGGATCAGCAAATGGGCAGCAGCAGCAGCAGCAGCAAGAGCAATGCAACAACAACAAGAGCAGCAGCTGTGACAGCTCTGAGCATTCCTGCAAATAACACAATGTCTGGCATACGTCGCCGTTTATACGACAGTGAACGCGGAAGTGAAACAGCTACGTCATCGGTAACGTCCACGTCTGGTGGTGGTGATGCTGATGCTGTTGTTGTTGCTGCTGCAACAGCATCAACTTCTGATGGCAGGCGACGGCACAAAGGCCGCCAGGGCAGCCACAACAGCCACAACAGCCATAATAATAATAGCCAGAGCCCCACTAATGCCGATGAATTAGCATTTCTCGATGGAATTTATGATCACGAGTCTGGCTTTTTGGCGCAGTCCCAGCCCCAGCCCCAGCCAAATGGCATATTGGTAAGTCTTCATGCAATAATGTTGTAGCATACTTCAGGGCTACTTAATCACATATGCACAAATATGTATGTATGTATTATGTATGTATGTATGTTCGCATGCAGCAACACACAAATCCGGTTTGTGGCACCGATGGACGCACCTACAATACCGAATGCCAACTGCGCAAGCGCGCCTGCCGCACCAACAGTGCCGTCACAGTCGCCTATCGCGGACATTGCAAAAGTAAGTAACTATACTATATACATATACTATATACATACATAAATATGGTATGAATGCGATTTTGAGAGATGGGACAGGTAGGACAGGTAGGAGAGGCAGGAGTAGAGTAGTTACAACTGTCGACTGTTGATTGCTGGTCGCGTGCCAAAAACCGCAGAACCGCAATAATTAGATTAGAAGACAAATTATTGCACATTTCAATTATTGAAAACAACTTGTCGCCAATGGTGGAATGAAAAATCCAGCTGACAGTGCGCGCCATGAAAATGTTGTGTAATAATTTAATGATACAGGAAGCACTCGCAAACATGCTCAAATGATCAATAAAAGCGTGCATTCACAGCGCCAGACAAGAACGATGAGCTAAGACTAAGCCATGATGCGAGTCCAAGGCACCAAAAGAACCATCCAGCCATTGAGTTAGGCAGGCAGGCAGCTTGGCAGGCAATAACCAAACAGCTCGTTCATAATTTCCAACTGTTTGGCTCAAACTTGTTGGATTAGCCGCTAGCAGCGATCGTTCTGCTCATCGCTAGCTTGTTCTCCGACACGCTGCCTACGGTGGCACATAAAATGCCAATGTACATACTTACATATAACGATGGCGCGTGCCACAATTGGTGACTGCACATTGGTCCCAAACTGCAAAATACGTTAGTTTATGAAAACATAGTCAGCATGATGATGTGCAAACGAAATCACTTGATGGCTTTTTCGAGCCAAAACAACAAAAACCGATTTGTTTTTCTAGTGGGATATTTTTTTCAAAACCCAAAATATAGTAATGTAGTTAGTTAAACAAATGACTAATAAGCATTAAAGGAAACACTTGTAGAGATCTTACAAATATTCGGTCGAATATAGAACATTCCTTAAAAAAAAAGTTACCGAATAACATTTATTTCGCACGATCGAAACCCCATTAACTCCGAAAATGTAGTATAAGGACGTACGCAGGGGCCGCATCAGGAGGCCGTTGCTCCACCTAAAAAAAATTTCGTAATATAAAGTTGTTATCTTCATTATTATGGCGAACTATTTCGCCCTGAAATGGAACTGAGTTGGATTTGTTCAAGTTTTTTTTTATTTATCATACACATAAATTCTTATTTAAACTCATTTAATCAACAAATTGGCCCCCCTACGTACACCCTTGATTTAGTATATTCAGTTTCGAAATTATTCTGATCTGTTTCCTTTAGTAAATTATTCAACGAAAAAAAAAAAATACAATCGTTGAAAATGAAATATATGTTTTCCCATCATTCGTTCTAATACAATTAATTCAGTCGACATACAATATTATTTTAAAAGTGTTGTAAAGAGGAATCTAATTTTTAATCGATTTAATAAATTAAATTGGAATATTGACCACAAGAGACGATGCATTTAGAACCTAGATTTGCAGCTTATTAGTAAAACATTCAATATTCAAAGTTACAAAAAGTGCGTTTTTTCTAAAGTAAATTATCTTTTGGTAAATTATTCAACGAAAAACAAAATAACAATCGTTGAAAATGGAATACTTAAATATATGGTTTGGAATCTATCTTTAATCGATTTTAATCGGCACACATTAAATAAATTCAATTGGAACCTCAATTTGCAGTTCATTTATATTTTAACAATGCATTCCAACATTAAGTAAATTAATCTAAGTAAAAGGTTCAAAATTTACAGAAAAAACAATTACGTTTTTCCAAAGTTCTACGGTTTACCAGTTTATCTTTTCTATTGGATACGTACTATTCCCCGAAGGGAAGAAAAATAAGTTTTACAATCGAACGCATTCTAAAAGTGTTTTTTTTTTGTTTGTTTTGGGACCAGTGTGTCGTAGAAAGGAATCTGCATGGCACTTGATTACCCCGCCCCCCTCCTGCTCTATGTTGGAATGCAAACTGACTGCTGGTCGCAGCTAAAATTCGCATTCAATAATATTTTAGTGCAGAAAAATGAATGCAATTTTTTGCGAGTGTCATGGTTGGCGCCAAGGCGTTTCGCATCACAGGCAATGTGCAATGATAAATTTGACAGTTTATTGCTAGCCATATCCACATACACGTACATACATACTATATACTGATTACTTGTAGTTCTGAGAATGTGTATGTGTGTGTGTGTGGAATTGGCGCTAATCATAGAAATGGGAAAACAATTTATTTATAGCTTAAAATGTAATAGAAAGACACGGTTGAATGGAAACGTAAACAAAATATTTTAAAGGCTACTAGGAAACTGTTGTACTTCTAACTATATTTTAAGAGAATTAGCTACTTAGATCCTTATTGGTGAATCTGTAATTGGTTAATTTATATTATTTGTTCTCTGCTTCACCTTTAATAGCAATTCCATTCCCTAGGACTTGCCTGGCATTGAATTGCATTCCCGCCTCATTATAGGTCTTACAATTTTTTCATTTACTGCCTAGTATTTCCTTCTTTTTAAATTTTCTATATTAATTAAACTATCACAAAGCACATTTCACTTTTCTTTACTATTTATGCGTTTTATTCATTCCTGGACTGTTAAGTATCTAGTCATAATACTTTGATCTCCAAATGGATAACATTTTGTCGTTCCAAAATGTGTTTCACAACTACAAGTTTTACTTAATCGACGATAAATATTCTGAAGAACTTGGTAGTTTTGTATACCCTTTTTCATACGCTCTGTATCAATTACAATGAAATTTAAGAACTTAAACTAATCAAATTTTTCTTTACAAAAAGTTATGCCAAAGGGCTTATTAACTTGGTCGGAAAAGGGATCTCAAATTTTAGATAATGACGGAAAAATCAAGATATATTAATTCGTCTCGCCATGATGATATAGCTTTTGCAAAAATGTGAAATTTTAACGTTTTAATTTTGAACACCCCAAAAAAATGCAAAAAATCTGCGTTCTCATAGATACCGATTTTAAAGCGTTGTAAAAAATGTCGCATGGCAGATATTTCCATACATACGAGTTGTAGGTTTTCCTAAAATTCAGTGCTTTTTGTTTTTCCCAGTTCGTATATCATATATTTTTATATTGCTTATCATCAACAGCCAGTTGTAACGGAGTCAGTTGTCTGAATGGACTAACCTGCGTCGAAGATCAGAATATGATGCCACACTGTATAGAATGCGATATTAATTGTCCCTGGGCCGATGGGGCACAAGATCTGGACGGCGATGGCCAGCCCGATGACGATGGCATTAATGGGGAGCATGCGGTGTGCGGTGTGGATGGCAAAACATATAGGAGCACATGTGATATAAATCGTATGATTTGCAAAATTGGACGTTCCATAGCCGTGGCATATCCTGGACCGTGTCGTGGTATGTACTTTTCCTAAATATAAGCTAGCGATAGACATCTTGGAATGGGCAATAAGCCCGTCGATGGGGTGTTGTCTAATGGCTCTGCAATTGGCAATATGCTCTGCCTATGCTTTAAAAATCCATCAAATTAATTGTAATTGAAAGTCTTGCGCTGCCTATTACAAGTATAGTGCTACATTGCTTTGCTATGCGGTTGCCTACAATTGCAATGGCAATGCCAATTGCTGCTGTTGTTGCTGCTGTTGTTGCTGCTGTTGTTGCTGCTGTTGTTGCTGCTGTTGTTGCTGCTGCTGTCGAGTTGTTGGCGGCAACAGCAGCACATTTAACAACAATCATACCGCAACCGCAATTTTACATTTGATTGACTTGACTGAGGTTTACTGCTGTTACGGGTACGGAGTTTGTGGATATGTGTAGGTACGAGTACGTTCCCAACCACAAGCTGCAGTTGCCACGGCTGGGCCGTCATTGTCGCGCTACCGTCTGCAATCGCCGACTGACTCTTGCCCACACCAACAACATGAGTTGGCGGAGGCAGGCGTATCAAGTTGCTCGGTGTTTGCCTGAAATTGCTACATTTGCTTATACGGCTCCATGACTGCGATTGCCATCATCAGCAACAGCAGCAGCAGCAGCAACAGCCTCAGCTCTTGTCAGTGGTGCTCCACTTTGAGTGGCGTGCATCGTCTCGGCTTAATTCGTGCTTATTCATTTTGTGGTCACACCACCACCACCACTACCACCACCACTGCCTAAGACAATGCAATTGATCGACTCATATTTCCAATTAATTACAAAGCCGCACCAGCAGCGACCGTCAGCTGTCAGTGCATAGTGAACAATTTTTTGATTTTCGCCGGCCCACATGATTGGCATTTCAAAAACAAAATATTCACCGAACTTCGAAAAATCCAGAACTCCCGCTTCCCGCAATTCACCAATTTTTCCCGCAATCGGTCTTCCAAAACAGCCAGATTTGACGGGAAAAAAGCGAAATTGGCAGCCCTGCACCGAAGTTAGCAACACATATATTTTTATTAAATTCGTATATTATCTGCAAAAAACAGGAAAGGAATGCTGGCGACAGTCTGGCCCCGACTCTTAAAAGCCCTTTTCCCTCAGATTTGGTCATATGCGTCAAAATTCCTCACCTGACCAAAAACACATTTGTTGAAATTCATGTATTATCTGAAAAACAAGAAAGGAATCCTGGGGTCCATCTGGCCCCGACTCCTAAAAGCCCTTTTCCCTCAGATCAGGTCATATGCGTCAAAAACATATTTGTTGAAATTCATGTATTATCTGAAAAACAAGAAAGGAATCCTGGAGTCCATCTGGCCCCGACTCCTAAAAGCCCTTTTCCCTCAGATTTGGTCATACGCGTCAAGATTCCTCACCTGACCAAAAACACATTTGTTGAAATTCATGTATTATCTGAAAAACAAGAAAGGAATCCTGGGGTCCATCTGGCCCCGACTCCTAAAAGCCCTTTTCCCTCAGATTTGGTCATACGCGTCAAGATTCCTCACCTGACAATATTTCATGGATAGCGCTCTAAGATCAAGATCTTTGTGCCACCAATACATTTAACTTTTCTTAATCTTAAATTACTCTCTCTCTCTCTTTCAATCCCACAATAAATCCTATTAAAATCTTGCACAATCCACGGATCCCCACATTCTTATATTCAAAATTGCCACATATTCAAACTTTGATAATAATAATAATATTTCTGATTTAAAAATACTCGTATGCACACAATATAGCTAGCTAGTTCCAGCAGGTAATCTCTTTGCAAAAATATCATAACTTAGACACGCCAATGGGTTGACAATGGGGTCTATACGGATCTATATTTACCTTCGTTATGCAATGGTTTACCTTTCTCGGAGGAGCGTATAACACTTTGTTGAATAAAAGAGTCGATTTCAATTCTGTCCTCAGAAAATTGCTATTAATAGGTTAGCTTTTAATGGAAAGCAGCTAAATCGATCAGTTATTCACTTTTAATTTATGGGCGAAATAATGGCAAAGTTGATGAAGGGCCCCTTCTATCTTCAACGAGCAAGGTCAACGAATATGAGACTGGTCTTACAAGTAAGTGGTAGGTCTAACCCACCCGACGACATGATTCTCGCTAAGTTACAGGGAATGGCAATTTATATTTTAATAATTAACCTATCTACCCGCGACATTATATCTGTTTCCAAATATGAAAACTTGACTCCCACCACAAACATTAACTCAAATGAAGATGTAAACACTGAGACAACATATTGCACAAATCGCTTATTTTTTAGGGTCTCTAAGAAATTTCAAAAGCTTTATGTAAGGCGTTGTTTACGTCTAAATTTACATTGCTAGGTGTATTCTTTTATTTTTCAAACTAACTATTTGTGGAGTATTTTTTAGGTATTTTTAAGCTTTGATGAAAAATAATACCTCGCCCATATTTTCAAAAACTTCTTCCCTTTACCTAACTTTAAAATCTTTTATAAGGATTGATGCGGCGTTGGCTTTAAATGCGACTTCGAACGCCACGTCGTAACCCGCTTTATCAATCTGTTCAGTGGACTTCGCCGCACTGTGCAGTGACCGCTTTGGCATTATCTAATTACGCCCACGAAACATCTGAGACCCCAATAAAATGCGGCATTTGACAGTTGCATTGTCGCGCCATATCTGTATCTTTATATTTGCGGAGAACGACGCGTCGACGGGTGCCAGAACTGGTTTACTGTGCCAGACTTGGCCAGCTACTGCCCGATTGCGTGCTAATTGCAACGTTTCCGCGCAAATTACAAGCTGTAATTAAAAAAAAAAAAAAAAAACACTAGCACCAAGTCAGACACTGACGAAAAGCGCTCATCTACTACTACTACCTGAGCTGTATTGTAATTAAATTCACGAGTGTTCTAATAATAGGGTGCTGGCCGTGCTTTTGTCTTTGTCTTTGCATTTCGAAACGATTTCCCATAAGGCGTAATTGCCTTTGCCAGCACAGGAGTAGAGCAGCTGAAAATACGCGATCAATTGATTAATAAATAATACTTTGCAGTAAAATAAAAATACGATGAGCTCTTTACGATATTCGAGATAACATTCACAAAATTGCGCCTTGTTGGCTGTGTGAATATTTTTATGGCATATTTTTTCTTCTACTATTGTTGCTATTCATTCGCCCACAAAATAACAACACTTTTATATTTGTCGTTCAAATATGGTTGTTTGGTGGAAAAATAATTCGGATACACTTCTGCTTATGATTTTGACGAAAGCCTCATAATAATTTAAAGTGTTATCAGAATCAGTGCACGCTATATGGTATTCCTACAAAAATCAATCTGAGTAGTAAGCATTTTTCTGTTCATTTAGATATCGTAACATCAGTAGAAATGATATGAAAAATGTTTTATTTAAGTTTCTTAGGAACAATAGCATTTTAGCTGTTTACCTTTTTTTAATATGTAATTAATATTGATACTTAAGAAACCGTAAAATCATTTAATATTTAATTATTTTATCAAATAAATTAACGTAAACAAATTTTTCATAGAAAGAAACTTAGATTTAGAAAATTTATGCATTCTAAATACAATTTCCTTATCTATTTGACGATATATATTAGCTGATTCTATTGTAGTATATATTCAAAAAAAAAAAGGCATACGAATATTAATTTAATCAAAGTATGCTTAATTAGAAATCGTTTAATTCAGTTAATCACAAAATACATATGTATGTCATGATATTGTTATCCTGTACCGAAGCGGTTAAAGGTTATACAAGTTTTTATCTATTTTAATAGCTTAAATTAGAAACTTTGGAAAATGTGAATGGAACCTACCTTCCCGTCAAACTAAGAAAATGCCGTCATCCGTCTGCACGGTAGCCGGAAATTAATAAAAATGAAGATCATTAACAATTATTCACTTTTGCTTTTAGCACAAAAGTGCGTGCGTGTGTGTGCGTGAGTGTGCATGCGTGTGCGTGCGTGCGCGTGTTTGTGTGTGGCTTTGTTTAGCCTTCTGATGATCCTCGCATGCAATATCTGTCTACCATGCTACCAGTTTCCAGTCTTTTACTTTATGCTGATCGCTGGCGATAAATTAAAATGTACATATGCAGAGGTCTGTCTAAAAACTACTGTGTCTGTCTGTTGTGTGTCAGAGCTTGGTTTTGGAGAATTTTATCTTTATGGTTAGTAACTTTATGGTTTTTATGCCTACATATGTACATAACTATGTCTTTGTTTTGTATATATGAATATGTATGTGTGTGTGTGTGTGTGTGTGCTTTCACATTAAGACTTGTGTGTGTGTGTGTGTGTGTGTGTGTGTCTGTCTGGGTTTGAACCTGCGATCAAACCTATAAAACCCATACAAAAACGTTCCAGAGTCCACGAAGGAAGGCACAAAACTTACTCAAAGAAATATGACTACACGTACAAACCATTAAAAACGCCATTTTCGCGACGGCGACGGCGACAGCATACGCCGTGATTACAACTGAAGGCTCGTCCGACCATCTGACCAACCGACCAGCGACCGAACGACAGAACGACAGTCGGACATGGCAATGGCAACGGCAACACGTCACTCTCGTCTGGCTTCGCGTCTGTCGGGCTGGGTTGGCTGCGCTGAAGTTTACGATCATATTAAAATCACCTTAAACAACACGCAATGCCAAAATGGCCAGACAGCCGGCGCACACACAGGCGCACACACATGACCCACGACGAATCCGGCCCTGCCACACAATGTTGCAATAAGTTCCTCAAACAGCAACAGAAACAACAACATTTAGCGGACAGCAGACATTTTCAGATGCGTCTGCTGCCGCCGTTCTTGTTGTTGTTGTTGTTGTTGTTACTGCTGTAGCATGTGGCAACCGGTCGTCGGCATTGATTAAACCACGTCGACATAACAAATTACAGCTGAGTTGCATTGTGACGGCATTATCAGGCGCAACCACACAGACATATCCATCAAAATCAACAAGTGCTGCAAGTCTTACTTCCGAAGTTCCAGTACCTTGAACTAGTTTTCTAATCAGCACACCTGTGTGTGTTCTTTAGAGCTGATGAAAACTAATTTACTAAATTACATAACTCTTCCATTAAGAGATTGTTCTTAAAGTAATAAGTGAAAGGACTTTATTGGAGATATTTCAGAACCAACTTCGAAACTTATTTGAACACATATTCAATAATTATATTGGGATTCGTAACTCAGTAGAGCTTTTCTCGAAGCGCTTTTATCGGCCCTTTACATTTTTTTTATAGCCTGTATTTTTTCTATGAATTTTAACAAATGTTGTTAGAACAAAGACAGCTTTCGAACAATCATTTTTCCATTTTAACAATCATTGAAAAGTTTCTTTAAAAAATGAAGAAGCTCTACTATTCCTATTACTACTAAGAAGAAAGAGTTAGTATTCTATATACCTATTTGATTGTTAGTACGACATATTTCTCCATTTATATATCCCAGCTACTGGATTGAATTTTGTTGTTTACTTCTCGAAACGCCATCATCTGCTTTTGATTAAGTTTTTAACATTATTGAAAAGGTTCTTTAAAAAAAGAAGAAGCTCCACTATTCCTGTCAATACTAAGAAGAAAGAGTTAGTACTTCTATATACCTATTTGATTGTTATTAAGGCATATTCCTCCATTTCTATATCCCAGCTACTGGATTGAATTTTGTTTTTTACTTCTGAAAACGCCATCATCTATTATTGGTTAGTTTTTTAGCAATATTGAAACTATCTTAATAAAAAAGAAAGAGCTGTACCATTCCTGTAAGTACAGAGAAGAAAGTGTTAATACTTTTAGCTTACCTATTTGGTATAAAGGCATATTCTCCATTTAAACAGCTACTGGGTTGAACTTGGTTGTTTACTGCTCGAAACGCCATCATCTCTTATTGGTTAGCTTTTTAACAATATTCAAAAGGTTCTTTAAAAAAAGAAGAAGCTTCACTATTCCTGTCAATACTAAGAAGAAAGTGTAAGTACTTTTAACTTATCTATTTGGTATGAAGGCATATTCTCCATTTAAATTTTCTTGTTTACTTCTCGAAACCCCATAATATTTTATTGGTTAACTTTTTAACAACATGGGTTATTCCGATTTGATTGTTACTAAGACATATTCTTCATTTACTTCATCTACTTCATATATATCTTATATATATTGGTTACCTTAGTTTCGATGCAGATCATCCGGTTTGCAAATTAAACAACCAAATTCTCCCTAGTGGCTGGTGAACTAGTAAGACCTAAAACTGGCGGGAATTCTTTTTAACACTACCTACAAACACTGCACATATATTTATGTTTGTGTGTGTGCGCGCGTGTACCCTGCAAAGGAAGCTTGAGGCGAATGGCGCGGTTGAAATTAATAAATTTTAACTGTTACGAATTGCTAGACTGTCGACATCGACCTTTCCTGCGCCGTCCTCGAAGTTGCAGACATGCCGCCACATCTCCCCGTCGCGCCATGCCACTCCCGCTCCTGCTCCAGCACCCGATCGCTCTAAGCGCTTTGCAACATTGTTGCCAAGTTGAAGATCATGTTAACGATAACTATACACACGCACACGCAGGCAAGTGGCGTTTGGAGTGTCTGCCCCTTTGTGCTTGCGTCGTTCGTTTGGCCACAGCTACTGTCTTGCGCATGCGTTGCACGGGAAAAGGGGCGGACGCAGACTGTGGTGTGAATAATGTGGCAGCGTTGAGAATTACATTGCTCTTTCCACTTTACTGCTGCGTCCAACTTCCCCGACGGTGTATCCGTTCGTAAGGCATCAACAATAAAATCGCCCAATATCAAAATCAAAGGGCATATACTGTACTTACTTACATACTTGTATATACTTTTACGAAGGCAGTCCGAAATGTTTCTGCCCGGAGACGTTCTCCTACATTAACAAAACTATTACATTTTTATTAGGCATCTTTTTATATGTTTCCACCAAAATTGATTGGTTGTTCAATAATTGATTAACTAGGTCCATATCAGTGGTTAAATAAAAATTTGATAATCGTGCTGTCATAATAGATTTGTTTTTGAAAGGCAATAGGCTTACACAAACCAAAAACAAGATGGCCGTTGTTTAAGAGAACTCTTCTCTATTATTGGCAACTGTTAAGTCCAGGGCAGCTGAACTTAAACGTGGATGTACGAGCTTAAAATATTAGAGACAACCGGGACGCCCATAAACTACCACTGACGAAAACATCGCCAAAATTCTGAAAATGGTTCTGGACGACCGAATCAAAGTAAAGAGATAGTTGAGATAGCGAAGTTCTCTAAAGACAGCAAATTTTGAACAGAAAAAAGGACCTGAGATAGCCCCGCGATCGATCAGATGCGCCATCCCATACATCAGCTGTTGCTCTCCTTACTCTCCAGACCTAGCCGCAAGCGATTCCTTCTATACCTTAAACTAAAATCTTGAGGGACAGACATTTTCATAAAATAACAACCTTTTTGAGGAGCAGGACGCGAATACTTTTTGATGAAGTTGAAGAGTAGGGAGCATCGCTAGAAGAACTGTCTAGTTAAAAAGTTTTATCTTGTCAGGCTGGAAACATTTCGAACTGCCCTCGTATATATGTATGTATAGGCATGTACACACTTAAATATGGATTGTATCCAATTGTTGACTTTCCACCTGCCAGTCTGTCTCAGTCACAGCAGAAAATCAGCGAGGCAAGAGCACCTGCCAAAGTTCACATGCAAGGAACAGGATATGTGGACTGCAAGGCCATTACTCAGAATTCGCCAAGTCAGACATTAAGAAAACTTTAGCAGCTTTAATATATAAAATCGGTTTATTACGCTGTTCGCTGACTTAATGCCTCAACTTTTTACAGCCGACCGAGTCAGCTGTGCGGACATCAAGTGCGGACCAAGGGACACTTGCCTGGTGGACTTGCAGACCCATATGCCACGATGCGTCGCCTGCCGCTACAAATGTGCACGTAAACAGCAGCAAATGGTAAGTGAATCCAAACATATATGTATATAAGTATATGAATGAATCCATTAAGGTATTTAATTTTGTAAACTTAATGTAAGTACATCTGTGCTCAAAATAATAGAAAGGCTATTTGAAAAATGTAGTTCGATCAAAAAATGTAGGAAATGGTGTTTTAATGAACTGAAAATAATTTGTATTATTAAGTATACTAGTATATTAACAAGTAATCAAATACCCCGGTCCAAAAATGTACATCAAAGATAGTGACTGACAAAATCGAACATTAGCTTCAAAGGAAGGAACCATAAAGTTTTCTCGACTAATCTAATCAATACATTAGTGTCTGTACTGAAAACCAAATCAATATTTTCGTACTCTACGTTCGGTGAAACCAAGATATTGCCAAGATAAAAAACATTATTTTAGAAAACAAAAATGTTGGAACAGTTTAATTAATCTTAACAACTTTGAAAACTAAACACAAGTTATTAAAATGTTGAAATACATAGTTTAGTTTCAAATAAGTGATAAACAATATAACACTTTGTGTGTGGGTTTTGACAATTTTAAGCACAGTAGGTTTCTTTACATAAAATCTATAATTGACATTGGCTTCTTTGATAAAAAATCAATTTCAAACCTAATTTAGCGCTCTCTTTTATTGAAAACTTTACTTTTTCAATTTGTAATAACAAATTTGAGTTCCATTTTAATGATCATATAATTTTTTTTTTATTTGCAGCAACATCAAAGCGGCAATCTGTGCGGTGTTAATAATCGCACCTACAATTCGTGGTGCGAAATGCGGAAGGATTCGTGTGCCACGGGCTATTTTATAGGCATAAAGTCAGCTGGCGGATGTACTTGAGGTCACATCTCTGACCTAAATAATTGAAAATTTATTAGAACAAATATTTAGAAGCAGCAACATTATGTATACTTATGTATTCAAATCGCATGTCTTGTCTTGTTAGTTAAATATCGGGTCTAGAAGTTTCACTTACTACCAAGCATGTCGTCAGTCAGCGATGCAAGCATGGTCAGGCAAGATAATAGGTATTCAATATCTAATTGTCATCATATATGCGGCTGGCGATATCCCATAATTACTGCATACGTTTATATTTATGTGTAGATCCAGCATCCAAAGAATCTCGTTGTGCGTCTGTATGTTGTAAACTGTGCATTACATTAGCCTTCTACACTTGCACCTACACATAAATACATATTCATATTAGTGAGTTTCTGGCCTGCAATTCTATAGCTACCAACATACATATATGCATACATACATACATATGTACGTGCACATGTCAACAGAGAATTGCAAGTGAATGAGACAACACATATCTTAAGAGGCTTTTGTATTAAACATAAATTATTTTATAATTAATTTATATACTTCTCTAGCGAAAAACAATTAAAAAACACGTTCAACCTAAAATTAGTTTACAAAATCTAAGCATTATAATGTATGTGTTTAATTTATTTTAAACTACTTATAATATACACGCATATTTCCTGTTTATGTTCGAAGCTAAATGAATTAATTGACTGATAGCTTAACCTTATATAGAAAGATTTTCGAATTAATATACATAAAGAACTATAGAATACATGATTGTTTATTAAATGTGTTTCAAATGAAAAACTCAGTTCTTAATCACTTTCATCCGACACATCAAAAATATCATTCGCTCGTTGGTAGCGTGCTTGTGTTATCTTCAAATTGGCCAACTTGCGTTTGTCAATCGGGCGAGAGCTTGTCGCGCTCACTTGTTCACTTCCCAGGCCAGTAGTGCCCTCATTTGCCACCACATTGATTGGTGTCAGGAGACCAGCACTCGCATTTGTTTTGCCCAAAGTCTCGCCCTTCTGCCAGCCCAGTTTGCTAAGCATTTTGAATCCTTTATTTGAACTGCCTATTTCACTGATTTCAAAAACAATAAAACAATTATTCAATATTAATCAAATTAAATGAGAATTAGGCTATACGTACGTGTTTACACAGGCCACCTCAGTTTTTTCCTTGTCGGTGCTGCTTCCCACCTTTGTACGTCGTGTGGCCGCACGATCGTTGTAGTTATGAGGTGCGGTGCCCTTCGATTCCACAAATTCTAAACAAAGACAAAACGATTAAAACTAATTGGTACAGCTCCAATGGCCACGAACTCACTCTCATTTTCCAGTCCGTACTTTTTCTGCAACTTCTTCAACTGCTCCTTGTGTGACAATACTTTCACATTGCTCGTTGCGCTTTCACGCACCTCGCGCGTTTCAATCAAGAGGCCCGGCTCACAGAGGCCGCACGTACTATTGCCCTCGTGGACGTGACAAAGCAGCTTAGTCTGCCCTATCTGCAAGACACTGCCGTGGACCAGATCCTGCTCTCCACTCGCCGACTTCGAGTCAGTCAAACGACTTCCATTCAGAATAGTACCATTACGTGATCCCATGTCGTTACACTTATAGACGCTCCGCTTAGTGTCGTAGTGGAACTTCAAATGGCACTGTAAGAGTTAACTAGATTTATCAACTGAACGTTTCAGATATTGGATCGAACAATCATTTACCTTTGAAACATTTACATCCGGTATGATGACGTCATGTGCACCTTCACGCCCCAATGTGCCGCCTTTGTAAGTGATCAGGTGCAAGCTACCCACCGTAAGTTCCTGTACGTTTGTCTCCTGGACAATGATTCGCAACGAGGGCGGGTACTGCTTGGCAATATCTAAAAAATGTAGCAGATGTTAGATCTGAAGTAAAATACCTGAAGCATGGGGTTATAGGCAAAAACGCGAATTTCTTCTTGAATTCTTAAAGCAAGGCAGCAAACGCACAAACCTTGAAAGCGACCGCCCGCTTTAAACAACGGTACACTGTCATCGTTTTCATCCGCATCACTGCTAGAGCTGCCGCTGCCGGAACTGCTACTGGAGGAACTTCTATCGCTGCTCGACTGCGACAGTTCACCATCCTCGACATCGCGGAATTTACGCGAATGTTTTCCAGCAGTCTGGCTCTTTTCTTCATCATTGCTGCCATCGTCTTGCCTTTTACGCTTTTTGTCCTTGTGATGTCGCCTCTCTTTGAATGATTTCGACTTGTGCTTCTTGCTCTTCTTGCTATTTTTCTTTGCCTTGCGTTTGCTTTTGGCCGCACGCTTCTTAGCCTTTTCTTTTTCGGCTTTGATTTGCTTTAACTTGGATTTGTCCGTTATTACGCCGCCCAGTTCGTCAAACTCAACGTCCTCTTCCAAAGCATCGTCGTCCGCATTTGAGCCACCATCGGCAGCATTGTCCGCGCTGTTTGCCTGCAACCATTTAAGAAAAGAAATCCGCGTTTTTATGGCACATTCGTTGGCTCAACTCTTACCTAATGCATTGCTACGCATTCGGTCTATGCTTAGATTTGTAAAACGTTCTAAGAGTTTACTATTTACGTAATGATCGACTCTCTGCGCACACTTGCTAGACTAAAGCGAATATGAAGAAGAAATACACTTGATTATTGTTCATACTGCAGATGTTGAAATCGGATTGCACACACGCTCTCACCTGCACTTGCGGCTTCGAATGGAACTCGTATGAGTCTTTGGCTTGGTCGTAGCTGTAGTAGCAGCCCGTATTGCCATCGTAATACAGTCCATATTCCTGCGGAAGAGATTGCAAATTGACATTGATGTAGGTTTATTGTTATGTGTATAATAATGCAGCCTATGAGATAACCCCTGCATGTCACTCACAACGCATATACATAACTGCACTTGCGCATAACATTCAAATCGTCATCATAATGATTGCACTGTCATATGTATTTACCGCATTGTAGTAGTAGCCGGTCTTTGGATCGTAGTACATGCCCGACGTGGGCTCATACACAAAATTGTTCAAGTTCTCCGCATGTTTAGCCGCCTGACGCATTTCATCCACAAAACTAAAGGCATCGGTGGCCGAAACTGTGAAAATACGTTGATAAAAAAATAATAATAAAAAAAAAAAAAAATGGAATTAGCTAAAAAATATTGTTGCTATATAACAGAAACTCGGACTTATCTATAATTATAAGCCACATGGTTGTTAAACTCTACAGACACACCGCCAACTACACATTGGCACACAAAATTAAAGCTATTTACATCATAAAGTACGAGGGGCTTTATGGAAAAAGTCGTCGAGTGCGACTTTCGGCGCTAATCTTGGGCATTAATAGGCTCAATTCTTGACGTTGACGTACAATTTGTCAGAGAGCATACGCTTTCAGTGCGCTTTATGTGCGATTAAGACTCTTATGAACGCATTCGACTCGTTTAAATTAGTAATAATGAGTGGGAAATCGGAAAATGAAGACTTGTGACTAACAAATACCCTGATAATGCCCATCGTTCTACGCTCAAATGTCACTTACTCGTAAATGCAATAATTCTCTTTTAAACCCCAATGGAATACAATTTTCTATATGGTAATCATGTAATGTATAGCCCATGCTTTATCATATTTAATAATATCATGCTAACTATATGTGGGTGTCTAAAGCCAGTAATAAAACTTAAAGATAATTATACGACTAAGCTATAAGATTGTTTGCCCTGGGTGTTAGATTTCGGATAAATTTCGCACGATCCACAATGTCTAAAGGCAAGTACGTTGAATAGTTTAGAAAATAATGCTGTGTCGCTAGTGATTTTAATTTAAAAGGCAACGAGCGAATTGCAGTTGTTTCTACGTCTGGATATTGCATTGCAATATTTGAGCAATTCTTATCAGGTGTACCATATATAGGTATAGAAACCCAGGCATTGTGCACCATTGTACAGCCAGCGATTTAGTCGTTACTCATCGTTCGAAGCAAGCGGTCTTTACAGAAGATAGTAATATAAAATGGTCGACGCGGAAATCAGGGAGCTTATGCAATCCTTTGTGCTGAGCGATTACCAGGTGCAAGAGTTGTACAAAAGATTCAATGATGAGATTAGCAAAGGCTTGAATCGAACCACAAACGCATTGGCCAACACAAAATGCTTTCCCACTTATGTGCAGGACTTGCCAACGGGTGATGAGATAGGCAAATATCTTGCCCTCGACTTGGGAGGCACAAATTTTCGTGTGCTGCTTGTAACTCTGAAGGGTCACCATGAAGATACTGTAGAGTCTCAAATCTATGCTGTACCCAAGGAACTGATGATTGGACCAGGCGTGGATCTTTTCGACCACATTGCCGAGTGTCTTGCGAAATTTGTAGAGAAGCATGACATGGGCAGTGCGTATCTACCACTCGGGTTCACATTTTCATTTCCCTGCGTGCAGATGGGCCTTAAAGAGGCTATATTGGCCCGATGGACCAAAGGATTTAAATGTCCGGGCGTAGTTCAGGAGGATGTGGGACGCCTTTTGCGGGAAGCGATCCATCGACGGGGTGACGTGGATATCGCAGTGGTGGCCATTCTTAACGATACCACAGGCACGTTAATGTCCTGCGCTCATCGCAATCCCAAATGCCGTATTGGTGTTATTGTAGGCACAGGCTGCAATGCATGCTATGTGGAGCGTGTGGACCGCGTCGATTTACTAAAACCCGAATTTAAACGCGACAAAAAACATGTGCTTGTGAATACAGAGTGGGGCGCATTCGGAGAGAGCGGACAGCTGGAGTTTGTTCGCACGGAATATGATCGCGAAGTGGACCGCACGTCTCTTAATGTCTCGTCACAGTTATTTGAAAAAATGGTTTCTGGTGAGCGATGAGAAACTATTACGTTCCAATATATATGACCTCTGTATCGCTTCTAGGCATGTACCTGGGTCCTATCGTAGGTTTGGTGCTGCTTCGTGCATTAGAGAATAATGTTATCTTCAAACGAGACTCGAAGCGTATGGAATTTGCGGCTGCCTTGCGTGCTAACCCCAACAGCTTCCACACAAAATATATATCAGAAATAGAGTCGGATTTATTCCCCGAGTTCACAATAACACGAGGAATTCTGCAGGACCTCTTCGGTACAGAAAAGGCATCGATTGAGGATTGCCTGAAGCTAAAGTACATTTGTGAATGTGTTGCTCAACGTGCCGCCACCTTGATTGGCATTGGCATTAGTGTCCTTCTTAACAGAATTGAGGAAAAGGACACAGTAGTTGGGATTGACGGCTCTGTTTACAGGTTCCATCCTAAGTTCGATGCCTACATGCGTAAAACAATTGACAAACTGGCGAAGGATAAGATCTACGATATTATGCTCTCAGAGGATGGTTCAGGACGAGGCGCAGCTTTAGTCGCTGCTGTTGCTAGCAAACAGAAGTAGGCAACAAGCAAATGACATGTATTTATTAGCTAATAAATTTGTTATTGTTATCATAATACTCACGCTCTGTGGCCGATGGATGTTCCGCCTGCAAGTCCTGTCGTTCGTCCTCGACTTCCAATCCTGATATTTGTGTGGATTTATCGCAATGTGTTTTTGCCTCCTTTAACTGTAAAGGTCTTGGTTTCATTAGTGATCCCTGCGCTCATTACTTGCCACTCACTAGGTGCGTGAGTTTCTGTTTGTATTTCGCAAATCTGATGTCGTATTTCCGTATAATGCCGTGCAACTTTTCAATATACGAAACAATTTGCTTTTTCTCAAGGGCTTGCACCTCTTCCACGCTCTTCAGTTCTATGTAGTCATGTGATGGTGCATCCGAGAACTCGGGGCTTTCCGTCTCAGCTTCCGACATTTTTCTGGCAATGTTCTTTGCGGCAGGGCTTGTTCGGTTTCCACAAAATTGACAACTAATTACAGTTAGAAAAATTAAAAGTAGTACACTGTTATAGCTTTGGACCCGTCCAAAATGGAAAGGAGCTGCACGTGGATGCTGATGTCGAATATGGATACGGACCAGATTAGATCTAGAAGGGTATTTTTAAATATACATACATATGTATGTACATACATATGAGATACATACATGTGTATGTACCCACATTTGATTAAAGGAAGGTAATCCAATGGTCAGAATTTCGAGCAATGTAGCAAAAAGTCATTGTGCCGCAAATACGTGCCGAAGTCATGTACCTGAATAACACGCCCATTACATACAAACATACATATTCAAAGCCAGCGATAAATAGGAGCCTTTGGCCTTGACAAATTAAATTATTAACAAAGTACACTGCCAAGATGGTCAGTAGGCTTTGAGGTGGAGATTATGTATTTGAGGCACTATCTCTTGCAAATAGGAACATTCAGCCGGCTCAAGTGCAGCTGGCAGCGACTTTATTACAAACTTTCGCCTCTGGACAATCGCAACCAACCTTGGTGCAGCTTTCCATAGAAACAAGCACTTAGCGGCACAATTTCTTTTCGTTGCTTTCATTCAACGGCCAACATTTTTCATATGAACGAATACTCCATTTCAAATAAAAAGGCAAGGGAACTTACCTGTACTTAAATCATTTTCAAAATGCCCTTAAAACCTTTAACATTAAGAAATTAAATTCCAAACTAATTTCACTTCTAAAACGCCGATACTTTTGCCAAAATGATCGAAAATATATCGCTATCGACGAAGAAAGAGAAGGAACATAACAAATAATCGAAAAGCGATATTGTTGTATACAAAATCAAAATAATATTGTTGCCCATCTCTGTGAATGATGAACGAGAAATCAGTGAATTGCAAAAAGGGCAGAAGTAGAGCGAAAAACTCGTCATCGTCGCGATTTCTTTAATTACTTAAAGGAAAGAAGTGCCGCTAATAGTTCATAAAGTTTTCAAAAACTTGATAAACATTTACCTGAACGAACCCAAGCTTGTGGCGGCTAATGCCAGTTGACTCTGTTGCACACCCACAATCCCTAACACAGTGAAAAAGTAGCCGCAGCTGTGACAAAAACTACAAAAGCAAAACAACTGCCCCAAATTCGTGAATCACCAGCGGAATTATGGAACAAACACAGATAACAGATGCAGAAAAGGTGCGCATTGTGTCCGATTTTATACTCCACGCTCCGCCCGGCGAGTTCAATGAGGTCTTTAACGATGTGCGCGAATTGCTGAGGAACGACCCGCTGTTGAAAGACGGCGCTAGCCACGCCTTCTCACAATACAACAAGGATCAGTTAACGCCGGTGCGCATTGAAGGCAGCGAACACAATGCAATTATTTCCGAACATAATGATATAGGTGCGTACTACATCGTCTGCTGTTTGATTTGATTTCAATCCATTCTGGCTACAGCGAAACATTGATTGTTTGTGCCACATAAATATGCCATTACCATATAAGGGCATAAACTTGGTGCTGCTAAACAGCTGATGCGAATTCTGTACCCTCCCACAAACCCCCACACACAGTTTCTCTTTTGAAATTGTGGCGTAAATCAATGCACTGTGGTTTGCTTTATCCACAATGAGTCGCTGATACGTAGTACCCAGAAATTCTGTAAATTTGTGGATAGTATTGTCTAGCCATTATCATATATTTGTTGTGTGTATCTTTCAGGAAACGGACGCTTTTACGACCCTCGCACAAAACAAACATTCAAATACGACCACCTCCGAAAAGAGGCATCCGAATATCAGGATGTAGAAGCTGATGCTAATGCGGAACCATGGCGTGCAGCATTAGACATTGAAACAATAGCGTATACAGCTAGCCACTATAGGCACGGGGTAATGTGAAATGTGTGAACAATAATTATAACAAACGTGTTACAACCTCCATTCTTTACAGGTTAGCTCCGTTTTCGGTAAGTCGCAGGGCAACCAAGTGACGCTGACCATTTGCATTGAGGATCACCAGTTCCAGCCGAAAAATTATTGGAACGGTCGGTGGCGCTCGCAATGGACCGTTAGCTTCCAAGCAGGTAGCGGCAATGCTGAGCTAAAGGGGGTGTTAAAAGTGCAGGTGCACTACTACGAAGATGGCAACGTGCAATTGGTATCATCAAAGGAGTGCCGCGAAAGTGTCGTGGTTTCCAACGAACAACAATTGGCCAAAGAGGTCATCCGCCTAATCGAGGAAGCTGAGAACGAATATCAGCTGGCCATTTCAGAGAACTACCAGACTATGTCCGATACCACATTTAAGGCAATGCGTCGACAACTGCCCATTACCAGGACCAAAATCGACTGGGGAAAAATTGTATCGTACAGTATTGGTAAGGAGCTGAAGACCCAATAAGAGCAAGAGCAGCAAGCGGAAGCAACACAGTCGACAAAAAGACCCAACAGTCTTCCACTTGCAATGGCAAAGCGATTATAACAACTGAACGGCAGAACTTGCAGTAAATAAATCAATTCAAGTATGACCGTCACTGTTAGCGCTTTTTTATAATACACATAACTAACTGTAATTTGAAGTATGCATATACATATATATATACTATGTGTTATATTACGATAAAAGTGGACATATATACACACACATATACATTATAAATTAATTAAATGTAGATGATTGTCGCTATGAAGCAACGCATTGCTGCCAGCCCGCATGCCACCAATTGTCGCCTTTAAAGCATTAAAACTCAGTTTTTAATACTTTACATAATGTATTATGATTAATTTTAAACAGTTGAATCTGTTTTCGGCCGACAATTTTATATGTTATGTGAGTATATCGTGCGCTAATTTTGTTTAAATGTGGCCGAAGTCAGTTAATAATCCCCAAAAACCTGAAGGAGTGTTTTTCATAAATGTAACAAATTTTCGAAACTTGCATTTCATTTTGAACCAGCGAAAAAAATGTCCCAAAATTCTTCGAGAGTTCCAGTGCATCACTACAGTTGCACAATCAAACAATATGTATTAAGTATTTTTGAAGCTAAACACACACTTTTCTGATATTTTAAGACCCACATTTGTATAAACGTTAAATAATAAAAACACACATATTTTGCAATAGTTCGTTTATTAGTTTACTAAAACAACTAAATTATAAAAACAGAAAACTTAGAACACACAGCGTCTAATAAGATTTTTTACAATAACAAAATACTTTGTTTTAAAAAATACGATTTATTAACAGATGCTTGGATAGTCAAATTTAATGAGAATAAACTAATTAAAAATTTTCCAAACAATTGTTTATTCAGTTGAAATTTTGATACATATAGCCGAATCAGAGTTGTAGGTATTAAATCTATAGCATACGACCGCCATCCGCAGTCTCAATATACGGGGCTGGTTCATTTTGCTGCAGCGGCACATATGCTGGGTGTTGTGCGTATTCCTCTGCGGGCTGTTGGTATCCGGACCGGTCATAGTCTGGTTGCGGGTAATGTGGTTGGGGATAGTCCTTCTCATATGGCGCTTGCCTAGAATTTGTTTTTGTTTTCGCTGCATATGCGCCTTTTACCGACTCCTGATCCAAATTCTTGGGTACCGTAAAATCTGTGGATTTTTTAAGCAAGAAACGTTTGTTGGGCTGTTGTTTCGTTTCCAGCTCCAATCGGTCGATCAGCCAGCCCTTTTCCTTGTTATTTGTGGCCCAAAAGAAAACAGTGCCTGTGGAAGAACAAAAATTCAATTCATAAATGACTAGTTACTAGCGCCGGGACCCCTACCTTTATCCTTGGTGCCGTGCACCTTTACTTCAAACTTCGCATTCTGGGCATCGCAGGTATTGTTTGCATCAGACAAGTCAAATCCCGATTCTCTTATTGGCTCCCCGAGCAGTCCGACGGCCCCTGTTGTTATCCATATATTTATGGTCACTAACTGAAGGCATCACTTACCCTTATGCCGCCGCAGAGTTTGCATAGCCAGCTTATAGTATTCGGTGTTACGAACACGATCCTCCAGCTTCCATCGCATATACATTACAGCGGAGATGGAGAAAACGGCGCCATAGACGCAAATGTTGCTCAGTGTCCGGTTCGACGGAAGTCGCAATCTCAGAGTCGGCATTTTATTTTATGAATATAAAATAATTTTCTGCCGAAACGCAATCCCACAAACACTGACAACAGTTGCCGTTTGTTTTTAAGCGCACAGCTGATGGCCGCAACAGCTGATTTTGACGTTTGCGTGTGCTTTAAGGTTATACAACAACTCTGTGTTCGGCGCTCATGCTTTACCTAAACGTTGGAATGAATTTAAGTATATTGTAGAACTGACACAAAAATCACAGCCCACTTTTGGAAATGAGCAGCTTGACACATACTTTCCTGCTGCTGAGGCAGCGACTGGTGGTGCCGGCCCTAATGTTGCAGCCTCAGTCCCGCAACTACGCTGCAAAGCCCGCGGCTCCAGGTACACTTCATCAACTTCTTTCTACAGTGATGTAGATTTTAATAAAATTTAATTGTTTAATTTTAGCCGCCACCAAGAAGAAGAAGCTGGGAAAGCTAGGACCTATTATGGAGAAAAAGATCATACCAGTTGAAACGGATGCTAACAAACTAGTGAGCTATGTGTGTGGCAGCAACTATTTCAAAACCGGCGAAGACGTCAAGGTGAGCAGAATTCTTCTACTGTTCTATACTTTTACTTATTGCCTACTATTAACATACTCCCTGTAATTTTCTTTCAGCTGAAGCCAGACGCCGAGTACCCCGATTGGCTTTGGACGCTGAATACGGAACGTATTGTGCCGCTGGATGAATTGGACCCAGACACCAAGCAGTACTGGCGACGGTTGCGCAAGATGGCGTTGCGACGAAACAATCAGCTCTCCAAGCTGAAAAAATTCTGAGTGGGCGGCTGCTCAGGCATATTAATAGCTTTAAGTGATTCCGTTATGGTTATGCCAACATTGGTGTCTCAAATGAAGATAATGATGAAAGTGGAATAGCCAATAAATGACTCTGTCTTTGAAACAAGGCCGTTTCAGGGCTTGCGTGAACTTAGTTCTTTGTGTATAATATTTGCGTTGCTGTTTGTGGAAGAGTAAACATTTCGATTATGTATTTGCTCGAAACAAAAGAGTAAACAGCTCTTACAGCATGTCTGATTTCTTATCAATTACCGTGTTACCTTTTTGTATATGAATAACGCGCTTCGACTGACAAGACGCATGACTATATAAAGAGGAGATGCGTCAAGAAAATAGCAGTAGAACAGAAGCTTGCAGAAGGCGAAGAAAGTATTTCACACAATATTGACAAGCAAAAAAACAAAAACAAAATGTGGACGAAATGGCCAAGGAATCTATTGGCCTTGACCATCTTGGTTGGTGTCTATTCCATTGTAACACCCATTGAGGCTTCAGCATCCAGTAAGTAGTGTAAAACCGAAATATTTTATTAAATTAGACCAATAATTAATCTAATTAATAATATAAAATTTATTCTACTTGTACATTTATAGAGCATGTGGTGTGTTACTTCGGCACCTGGTCGACATATCGCCCAAGTCCGGGCAAGTTCGACGTAGAGAACATTGATCCCTTCCTTTGCACACATTTGGTTTACGCATTCCTTGGCATTGAGGAAAATGGTGATGTCCGCATAATCGATCCATATCTTGATCTGGAAGATAATAGCGGACGTGGTAACATTAAGAAATTTAATTCCCTAAAGTTGAAAAATCCCACCCTAAAAACATTGGCCGCTATTGGTGGCTGGAATGAGGGCTCGAAAAAGTTTTCGATTGTGGCTGCCGATGCCGAAAAACGAGCTCGATTTGTTAATGGCGTTGTTAAACTTATACAACGACACGGTTTTGATGGAATCGATTTGGATTGGGAGTACCCAGGTCAGCGGCATAGCTTAGACAATAAGGATCAAGAAAATTTCATAACGCTGCTTAAGGAGCTCAAAGAAGGGTATGTTAAATGATTACCAACTTTTACAATTCGAATTATTGGATGGTTTTACTTTTTTTTCAGACTGCAGCCTTTTAGTTACATATTGAGCGCGGCTGTAGGCTCCGCCGAGTTTTCGGCGCGGATTTCTTATGATATACCGAAGGTGGTGGAATACCTGGACTTGATAAACGTGATGAGCTACGATTTGCATGGATCCTGGGACGAGGAGGTTGGTATTAATGCACCTCTTTACGGCCGTTCAAACGAAACCAAGGAGCAAAAAGAACTGAACGTGGATGCCATTGCCAAGTATTGGATAGGTGCGGGTGCGCCAAAAGAAAAGCTTGTTCTGGGCGTACCTTTCTATGGTCGCACGTTCACTCTGGCTTCTGCAGATAATCATAATCTAGGCGCACCACATATAGGACGGGGAATTGCCGGGCCTTATTCCCGGGAGCCTGGTGTACTTGGCTACAATGAACTGTGCGAAAAGATGCAACAGGAAGCATGGACAGTCGAGTGGGAGTCGGAGCAGCAGGTTCCCTATGCTTACAAAGACCGCCAATGGGTGGGATACGAAAACACTCGAAGCATTGAGCTAAAGGCTCAGTATGTCGTCGAGCATAATTTAGCAGGCGTTATGATCTGGTCGTTAGAGTCAGATGACTTCTTGGGTAAATGCGGAGAAGGTCGCAACCCACTACTGCACACAATAAATCGGGCTTTGTTTGGCACCGACACGCCAACTGGCCTGACTGACAGTCCCAAGGATGATGCCTCCGACAGCCTTAACACTTATACTTGCACTGCCGACGTGGGTTTTGTGCGGGATCCGCACGATTGCTCAAAATTCTATTACTGCGATTCGGGGTCCACCTTCCGATTTAACTGCCCCACCGGCCTTAGTTTTGACTACGCATCGAGCAGTTGCAATTATGCCGAATTAGTAAAATGTTAGCACCCGCCTCTCCGTTAATAAAAATCGTCCATTTACATGCGAAAACTTTATTTAATATGTTTTATGGGGTATTGGGGTTTCAAATTTTCAGGTTCACTGGAAATTTACGCAGGTAGGTCCCCATGTTTTGTATACAACGCACCAGCTTCGAGGGGCTGCAATAACCCAATTGCTCATCAAAATATTGTCCCTGGATGCATTTGTAATCAAAGCGCTCTCCACCTCTGCATTCGTAGTACAACTGGCAGTCGAACCTTCGGCGATAGAAACCATCCTGTACACATGTGGCGGGATTCTGCGTTGTATATTCCGGCAATGTAAACACAGAAGGATCGCCAATGGCCTCATTTATGGTACGAAGGAGCCCATATCTTTCCCCACAATTGCCACGAAAGTCGTCCGTATCGATGGACCAGACCATGGCTCCGCCAAGCTTGTGTGTCCTTACCAGTCGCATCTTTTCAGCAATGCTGCGAGCATTATCATAGCTCAGCCACTGATTCCCCGAGTAGGCATATGCTACTTGAGCATTGGCATCATATTTTTGCGTCCAACGACTGGCCTGCGTGCAAAACTCATTGTAACCCATGCAGCCCACCTGTCCCGATAATGCTGTGAGCGATCCGGGACCATTGCTGTAAGAGCCTACAGCCGTCAGGTTCGGGTTCTGGAGCGTGTAAGTGCTGGCAAAGAAGGGAATCCCTAGCAGCAGCTTCGAAGGCATTCCACTGTGCTTAGCCCAATGAATCACCGCTAGTTCTATGTTGCTATTGTTGCCTAGTGGAGCGTTGTGAGTCAGACGCAGGGCATAGGGAGTTCGAAAGTCGTGTGTCAACATATTGATAAAGTCTACGTGCTGAGCTATTTTTGGAACATCATAGGAGGCAAGCGTGGTTGCATCGACTCGCGCGAGAACTCCAACCGATAATTGACGCCCGTGCTCTTTTAGTCTGGAATGCAATGTATATTGTAACTCCTGCTTGTTAGCGGACGCTCGACTTACTTGGTCTTCAATTTCTTCAATAGAACTGCGAAACTGTAACGATCCCTAGTACGGCCTCCTCGCTGGGTCGGAAATTCCCAGTCCAAATCCACGCCGTCAAAGTTCCACTGGTTTACAAAATCCGTAATCGAGGAAACACAACGATGGCGTTTTCGTGCATCTGCTGCCATGTCCGAGAACTTCCTGGCCTTCTCTTCCTTCCAGCCTCCTATGGCAGCAAATACTTTCAAATGGGGAAAAGTCTGCTTTAAGCGCATTGCATAGCTTATAAGATCTGGGAAGATTTGGTTAGCTAGAAGAACTCCAATTAGTTATGTCTCCCCGACCCACCCAAGTATATGTTCTGGAGCTCTACTCCGATTTCGATGGCGCCCCTTTCATCGATTCCAAAGAATCCGCAAGCTAAATGGGTACAGAGTCGTGGATCCACATCCCAGGATTGGAAGTTGGCATGACCCCTACGGTAAAAGGCGCCCATATCCCAATAGCAAAAAATATTATCTGAAATCCACGCAAATCAGGATTATGAGGTTTCATTTGCAAACCCACTTACAGTCTGCCCCATGTCCAAAAATGAATAATGAAACAAATAGAAAAATTATCAGCGGCCTAATCATGATATAGAAGTATATTTTATTTTCAACTCCACTCTAAATTTAAAGCGGTCTTCAGGCCAGCGTGTTTAGGAATTTTAAATTTTGAATAGTTATTATTTGTAAATGACAATTCTGAAAAAAAGCTCAATATAAGTATTTAGCAAGCATTGAGTAACTTCTTACATAGTAGTAGTTGTTGAATCATACAAGTATAATTATTATTTGAGATGCGGTTCAGTTTGTTATTCTTTATATAAATAGAAAATTACACTCATGAGTTTTCAACGTAATAGGGGAATCATCATTATCGTGCCTTATCAGTCGGAGAAGGTTTTTGTAAACATACTTGTATGTGTGTATGCAACAATTTCTATTTGTTCTAAGAGGTGTGCCAGGTTCTGTGAAATGTTATCAGATACTCCTAGTAAGTACACCTGCCAGCACTCGCTGCACACTTTTGTCTTATCACTCCAAAATTGCAATTGTTTTATGACGTTTTTTTAACATTACTCGAGCAGCGACAATTTTCCGAACGCAGTTTAATTTTCCAGACAGAAATTAGGAAAAAGTTTTAATTGTTTAATCTACTTGGTTTTTTATGGACAGCTAACAGCGGAAGACCAGTTGCAGACAAGTAAATTGGGGTCGAAATATAGCCCATTGGGGCAGGTGAACTCGAATCGCCTACCCGCCACACATTGATAGAAGCGTTGACAATCAGTACTGTGCCTAAAGTAGCCATCGCTGGAGCAGGCGCTGCTCTGTGTGGGCGCCACAGGAGCACTGGTGGCGGTTGTGGCTGCGGAAGTTGTTGGTGTAGAGGGCTTAGAGGTTACAACGCTTTCAGTGTCACCCTCAGCAAGGCTAACCGCATTCCTTATGGCCTTCAATAAGGGATATGATTCACCACATCGGCCTCGAAAATCATCTGTTTCAATGGACCAGACCATAGCACCAGCCAATGACTTAGTATTCACAATTTTCATTTTTCGTTCAATGCTTTGTACGTTGTCGTAGGAAACCCACTGATTGTCCTGAAAAGCGTATGGTGCGCCATATTCCTCATTGAACACTGCGGCCCAATTATTCAAACAGATCTCATTGTAACCAAGAAAGCCGCTTTGTTGTGTGTATTTCCCTGCGGTCCCCGGGCCGCTAGACCGATCCCCTGGCCCATTCTGAGAACTGTCCGCCATTTGGTAGGTGTGTCCATAAAAAGCAAGGCCTAGTACAAGCTTTTGAGCAGGTGCACCTGTGAACGAGGAACAAATGTATATTGGAAGCCTTTATTGGTGTCAGACTCACCTTTTTCAAGCCAATAATCGATGGCCTGCTGAACCTCGGGCAAGGGTGTATTGAAACCGAGGTACCCGTCGTTCGCCATATGGAAGTCGTAGGTCATAACATTTATATAGGACACATGCTGAGAAATGGCTGGTATGTCGTATGAAATTTCTGCTCTGGCTTTGGATGCGCCTACAGCTATACTTAACTCTAAGCCATGCTGATCAAAACTAACAAGCATATGTATTTTAAAACAAAACATATAGTTAGCGAAATATCATCACACTTACACTTGTTTAATTTCGCTTAGGAGTGTTACGAAGTTATTCCGGTCCTCAGGAACGCCGCCACGTTCTACGGGATACTCCCAGTCCACATCCAAGCCATCAAAACCATGCTCCTGAATGAAACTCAAGGCAGAGGAAATAAATAAGGCACGCTTGTTTGGGTCCGCAGCCATGGCGGAATACTTATTGGATCCCTCATTCCAACCGCCAACAGTGGCTATGATTTTTAGGTTTGAGTTTTTCTGCTTCAGGGCAATGGTCTTGCTAATAAAACCTATTCATACATAGATATAATTCGTATCTTATTCCCATGCTAAAGTTGTTAAGAATCTTTGGTACTTTAAAGATATACCTCTGTTTGCTTTAGTTATATTCCATCTTTTCACGTAGTATTACCTACCTAACCCACTATCCAAATCGAGCCAGGGATCCAACGATTTGAATTCCCCGCTTTCGCTGATGCCGAAGAAAGTATAACTTATATGGGTGCACAGACTGGTGTCGATGTTTGAAGGTTCAAACTTTCCATCTCCAGGACGATAGTTGGCCCAAGTTCCCCAATAGCAGTTTATTATTTCTGTGGGAAGATACATACTCTTTATTAAATAAAAATTACCCCATGCACCAGATGCAAGGACTTACGATCGCTGCTAACTAGATGTAATGCCACAAAAACGAATACGAGTAATACTGCGAATCTCATGCCCATGATTGTCTTGAAAGTTTTGTCTATGCAGACACTTTCGGTCTTGCTTTTATACGATCCAACATTTTCATAAAGTCGTTATCGGAACGATTATCTTATATAGCACTATATCTATATGATTGTTTATTTTGCAAATATAATAAATGCAATACTGATTGCAAAGTCACTAGAAATCGCCGGTAAAATGACTAAACCTCAGAAAAACTTCTATGCTTAAAATAAAAACAATAATAATCCACTGTAAACACTAATGGAACTAAAGTAAAGATAAGGGACCACTTTTGCAACATAATTAGAGCAGTAGGAATAAGTATTTCATAGAAATATTAAAGCTTTTTCTTTGAATACCCACCACCAACCGACTATAATAGAATTTAGCAGGTAATTATATGAGCCCAACTAAAAGCGTAAGAGTTCGCTTCTTGAGCCATTCAACTACTTTAAAAAAATATAAACTAGTTTAATAAATTGTATATATGTAAAAAAAAAAATAAAAAATATTCTAAAACTCTCGGTATTGCATACTTTTATGGGTTTTGAGCAGAATTATTTTTTAAAAAGATTTTAATTAAACTGCTATTGAGGGATATTAAAAAGCTAATACGCCCTGGTTTGGTTAGATGGGTATAGAAACATAATTGTAATAACTGTAGTTCTGAGATCTACATCCATAAGTGGGAAAACACGTTTCTCGTATTATTAATAATTCGCTTATTAATTCTCTGCAAACTTCTAGAAAGCACATGGTTGCATGCTCTTAAGAATTAAATATATGCCACATATTAATTACAGTTGCAGGAATAATGATAATCGTTTTGTTAACATCATTAATACTGGCAGTAGAGAATGGGGGCTTGTGCCGATTTTGAAAACAAACGGTTACTATTTGTTACCAAGTGGCAGCATTGATTCTTATCGAAACATTTATCGTAAAATCTGTCGTCGCTTCTGGTTCCGGCAAACTAGTTTCACAAACTTGCATTGAGCGACAAACGTCAAACTTTTGTTTGCGACGCAGCAGCTGTTCATTTTAATTGTAAATATATGTTGCCAATTATTGTTCAAGTATTGGTGTGGTAAACAAAACAAAGTACTTTTTCAGATGAGTTTAAAAAACGAACAAAGCGATGATGCGGAATCTGTTGGTCATGTTTCCAAGAAGCAAAAATTGTCAAAAGGCTGGAGTGATGCCAACACAATCAAACTAATCTCCTTGGTAGAGACTCATCCGGTACTGTGGAATGCACGGAACAAGGAATATTCCAATAAGATGGCTAGAAACAGAGCCTGGGAGTCTATAGCCGGGCAATTTTATGAAACCTTCGAAGTTGAAGACTTACGCACTAAATGGACTAACTTGAGAATACAATACCGTAAAAATGCGAGCCGCTCCAGGACCAGCCCTGAAAAAGTAATACAGAAGTGGAAGTTTTTTGACTATATGTTCTTCGTGGGTCCCGTGGAAGTAGAGGATGCCAAACGGAACGAGGCTGCTAGACGGAGTGAAATCGCATCTCAATTTCTCTTTGAAGAATGTAACGAAACTGCCGACGCCGAATGCTTTTCCGAGTCCAGCTCCAGCCAATTAAGAGTGTCAACACCACGTCCTGCCCCCACATCCACAACGCAGTCGGCCTTAATAGCCAGCGTGCAAGAAGCAGTCGCCGCAATATGTGCTCAGAAGGAAGACGACGAGAACACTGCATTTACAAAATTCATCCTTAGTGTACTTCGAGCAATGCCAGACAGAAAGGCCAAATTGCTCCGAAACAGGCTGCAACGGACGATGCTCGACTTCGACGAAGAGACAAATGACCGAGGATAGATTAAAAGTAGACATATAGTACATAGAATCATATACAAATAAGCATAGATTATATACAACTCTTGTACACGCATACAAAGTATTCGAATTATTTAATACAAGTCATATTTAAGTTCATGATTACATCTCAAGTACATACAATCATTTCAAATGTTTTATTAATATTTGTAAGTTCGTTAATGACTGTTTAGTTTAAATGTCTACTACTACTTACAATTGCCTATATATATCTCTGTCGTTAAGGCAGTTAATGCCCTCAGCTACCTACTACTACTTGAGGTCTAAGCTGATGATTGTTGATAGAGCCAGTTGGATTGATTCCATTGTCTGTGGAATGCGACTTATTTACTCGTTGAACTGCAGTAACTGTGAAGTATTTATTCGAAATTATTGCATGCATATGCAGGCATTCATTTGATTTGCAATTCCAATGAAAGTAAATTGAATTGCTTTATGCGTAACCGGCTCCAGCTGCATACAAAAGGCAGTCGCATCAACGAGCAGCGAAAAACAAATTGGTGTTGACGCTTCATGTGCTATGATGTTGTCCAATTGACTTCACTTAGTGGGCATATGTTTGGATAGAACTAAAACTGAGTGTGTCGCGTACCAAGCCCAAAGTGATATTGTTCTAACTAAATAAAACACACGATTCAATTAAGATTTCCGCTACAGCTTTGCGGATTTCAGATACTCGTGTACGCAAAAAGACAATGGAAAATCTGTCTGTTCGTGCGCAATGCTGATTACCGCATTCAATTTACGCTAATTTAGCTTTATGATCTGCCACTAGTAGACCAGACCATATTTTCAACGTGGACTACTATTGAGAAATGCTGAACTGAGCGATCAGTTGTCCACATTCGCAATTGTAAAGTGTCATATCTTAGCTTTAACAGCAGCTTCCTTCAATACAACAAATAAAAGTACAATAAGATTGAAGCAAGTGGTTCGCTGTCCTACTTTATTTATTTATTTATTCAATAATAAATGCAATCGAAGTACAGCAAAACGTTACCGAAATCCAAATTTTTACAACATGTATATTATCCAATCCGATTCGCTTGATGATAGATATTGATTATGCTGATCAATAAGTTGCGTGCCTTTTATTAAAGTACAAATCCTTATAAGCTTCAGTTGATAGGGTTTGAAGCAGATTTTCTGCAAATGGCTTCAAAGTTACAATATATTCATGGTTACACATATACATACATAAGTATATTTTGATTTGGACTAAGCTATTCCAATTAGCTTAGCCGGTCCTTTGGTCCTTTTCTTAAAATGATTATTTTTCATTAAATGCGTTAATTCTAAATATAAATCAGAAAATGAATAAAAGAAAGAAATAAGACTTACTTTCTAAAATGCTTAACCCTTTCCGCTTATCTTGAATAAAAAGTAATGCATACTTGAATAAAAAATTATACGCATTTGTGCAGATTAAAAGCAGGAAAGATAAGAAACGCACCAAGATGGTTGAATTTCTTAGCTTTTTAGTAGCAAGTCATATATTTAAAAAAATCTGAACATTAAAATTACCTTCATGTCAGTCGAGATTTTTAGGACATGAGCTTTTTTGAACATTTTCATACATATTTGAACGACGTAGCGAATGGATATACGTACATACATACATATGTATGTATGTATGTACATACTTTTACATACAGATATAGATACGTGCGCTGGTGAGTATCTGTGTGCTAGGCGAGCCCCTCCATCTGTATATGTATGAATAGCATGTGCTACACACATTTTAAAATATTTTAAACGGATATACATATACATATGTACATACATGCATACCAATTTATGTATGTATGTATGGATAGGCACACAGAGAAAAAGCCCGGTTTGTTGCGATTGTAAACTGAGACCGGTTTCCCATGCTGTTGTCTAACTTTTTTCGTGATTATCAACTCGCTAGCTTAGCTTTTTGTTTGTTTTTTCGTTTTTATTGAAGTTAAAACAGTTAACATCGACAATGTTGGCAAAAAAAGCTTTTTTCAAAAGCACACCAGCCATAAATTTAGCACTCTTCTGTTGATAAATTTCGCTCGCATCAGTTCATACCAATGCGTGGTGCTGACTAACACGAATACTCGTACATACTCGTATGTTTAGTTAAAAGTTGGCAGCATTTTTGCAAAATAATTTTTTGTTCCCTTTCCGTGACGTTTTGAGCGTGCGTGGCTATGAATGTGTGTGTGTGTGTGCTTGTACTTTTATTTGTTTTAAATTATAAAGGTCAAAGCTGAAGGTCACTGTTGTGCTTCGCCCAGAAACTTAAGTGTAGTGCTGAAGTTTGTTGTTTACAAAACCGGCAATTTGAAATGCATTGATTTTGAACCGGTTCGGCAGACGCACACATAGCAAGGAAACCATTTCCAAGGGCACCTTCAAAACGTGCAAAACACATTTCGGACAAATATGTGAAATTATTTATATGTATATCCGTCGACTAGATTGTTATTCATATTTTTTTCTTTCAAAGTATGACAATTGTCAAATGGATAAACACATTATTTTAGCGCGCCCCCATTATCTCACTTTGCTCGGTTCTGTTGAAATTAGCAGCCAGTTGTTGATGTCAATGCGCTATTTTTCGAATGTTGTGTGCAAAATTGCAACAGCAGCATCAGTATTTACAGCGCAGCAACAGTATTCAAGAGCTGCGCAGGCGCTGCCTGCTTCTACTACTATTCATATGAATGTACATACATATGTAGGTATGTACACACTAACGAGTGGTGCATGACGTAAATCACGCTAGGGCGAGTTCTGTTGTTGTTGCGCTTGGTTGTTTTCGCAGGAGCACGTTTTTTGCATGGTCTGTTTGTCTGTAGATGTGTACGAGAGTGCGTGTGTGTATGTGTTCTTGAATTTTATCAGAGTCGCCAGCAGCGCGTTGGCGCTCACGACGGCAACAACAACATCAGCAGCAGCTGCTCGTTCGCTTGCCCCCAACAAGCATATCTAAAACATACACACGTGTGTGTGTGAGTGTGCTTCTGTATATCGTTGTCGCTGCTGGTTTCGTCAGCAGCTCGAGCTCGTCGAGAGCGAAAAACTATTTATTTACATGGGAATATACGCGGTCTTTGTCATTACAGTCTCGCCGTGTTTCGCGCTCGTACCACTTGCATGTGCTCGTACTATTGCGAATTGTATTTTAGAAAAAAATTTACAGTGATAAAGCCATAATCATTTATCAATGCCTCAACTTTAAAACAAAAAGAAGGCACAACCCCAACACCTTGCTCTCAATTATTTACAAACAATACTCTGATAAAAGTGGCCGCAGAAGATTTGGGGCCGACATAACAATTAAAGGCCAATTCATTTTTTCTATCCAATACGTCGCGTGGCGCAACTTTGCAGCAGCACTTTGCTCAGCAAAGGTAATCGCTACAGTTCCACGACTACAGTTTCCACCAGAAGGTCCAATTTCGAGAAGCCAACGACCACTTGCAGCAGCCGCAGTATGAATGCCAACGGGTAAGTACATTAAAGTGAACTATGTATGTATTTGTATTTGTTTGCAAATTATCAAAAAGTTGCATAATTCCGATGCGTTGCAATTCTTGTGCTCGCCTATGCACATACACGTACATACTTACCTACATATGTATGTACATATGTATTGTGTATGCTGTCGAGACAGTCCAATATCTATCAGGTGCTTTCACTTTTAAACTTAGCAAAGAATCGCTAGCACTCTTGTGGTTGCAGTTTGTCCGTTTTAAAATGAATACGACTTTTATTTTAAATGATTTTACTCATTTTCGATATCGACCAGCTGTGTGTAGACGAAATAAATTCGAATATTCTTTACCGGATGAATGTACGAGTAACTCCGAAAAATATTATTTATACATATATGTATGTATTAGGTCGATTGTGTGTCTGTAAGAACACAAGTGTTTTAAAAAACTAAACTAGAAATTATAAATCTTCTAGATAAGATATTTATGACATTGGTCGCATCTCTAAAAACAAGAAGGACACAACTGATACCAAGCAAGAAAAGTCCTTAAAATTAACAATATTTTGAAGAAAAACAAAATGTGCAAAAATTAGCTAGGCTGAAGATGCTTGATATAAATACGTGTATATGTATAGATTTATTGAAGTCTCTCATTTGTATATGAAGTATTTAGAAAGCGCTGCAATAATTAATGTTAAGATGACTTTCCAAAATGATTTTTGTATGGTTAAGTAGCGTCGAGGGAAATGGCAAGGTTCTATATTCTCGGTCTGCTTGATATAAACATGGATAACCTTGAAGGCTAACTTGCTTCTCCTTTCAATGCATCTACAGAATAATTGTAACTTAAAGAACAATGCCAATCAAAATGTACTATTATTATTAATATAAATGTAGGTGCATTTATAATTTATAAACAATTCTTGGGGCACTTTTAATATTGGTTTAAAGGGTATATGAACTTCAGCAAAAGTAAAACTGATTGTTTATAAATTATTCTGTCTCTTTACGTTCAAAAGAGTCAAACAAAAATAAAACTGTAAACATTTTTGCGTAGTCAGCCGCTCTTGCATGAAAAGAGAGCAACTAAACACACATACATACAAGTATGTACATGGGTGCTTGTATGTATGTATGTATATTTGACCGTGCTTCTATTGCCAAGGTCTTCTGTTTACAAAAATATCTTGTGTTGCCCACAGACTCAGTTGAAGTTGCATAAACAGGAAAGCGGAACACAATAGCTGGAGGAAAGGCTCCGACACTTATTATTAACACTTTTCATTGACTTTATAATTTGACAACTCGGCTGACAGCAATATTCAATGTACTATTTTAAAATGAAAAGCTTCTTAAATGCCTTGTAAATTCTTTACAATAGATTATTGCTACTGCTAGGCACGTGTTAGAGCTTCATAATGACAACCTCGTGCTTTTTTTCAACTGCTTTAGCTTTGGAATTGCTTCGAGTAAAATAAACTTTGGAACTACTGAACAAATTAGTAGTATAAGCATGTATTGTATCGTGCCAAATCGATGAATTTAACAAATCATAAAGATGCACATTTCAACAATCAGTCAATAATTGAAATGCAATTCAAAGAGCTTTATCAGAGGAATGTTTACAAGCTTGTAAATTGTGGTCTAATAG